TGCATAGCTTGTATTACAGGTATAGACCACCATGCCCAGCTTTTTTGGTGACATGAGGCCTTGTTCAAGTCTTTGCTTTGAGGATTGTGGCCTCCGGCCAGAATCCTCCCCATCTCCATCCCCCAAGAACCTGGAATAACAGGCATGAGGCACCATTCCTGGCCTACAAGTGACTCTGAAATTCTACCTATGCTTGCTCAGGGTATCAGGACTCCATTCATCTGTTTACTTAGCAGACATTTATGAAGGGCCTGCTCAGAACCATCCTGAGCTCTGAAGATGTACACGCTAATGAAAACAAAGAACTCCTCCTCCTCCCCAGGCTGACATTCAAATTGAAGGCACAGAGGTGATAAGATAAACATATAAACATACGGCGTGCCTGCAGCAGTCCACCTGGGCGATCATCTGGGCAGGCAGGACGGCGGTGGCTGGGAGGGGCTGGCATGAATGGAGGATTTGCTGAGCGCTTGGGGAAGAGTTATGAGTCAAGATTCACACCAAGGTTTCGGCCTGGCAATGAGAAGAAACTTGAGACTGGCTGAGGGGAGGGGCAGGAGCAGGAGCAGTGGGCTCAGGGAGCCAGGGCTCGCTCAGCCAGACCACCTCCTATATCAAGTGCCAGGCAGAATGCACTTGGATGTGAGCAGCAGGCTGTGGAAGGGACAGATCTCCAAACCCAAGGCCAGGCAAGCTGCCCGGCTTCTCCCCAGTTCCTTAGTGCCTGCACACACCCTCTCATTTTGCTCTTCCTCCCCTAAGGTCTCCTGTCAGTCTTTTTCCTCGTAAAAATACTTTAATGGGCTGGAAGCATGGCTCAAGGGTAGAGGCAAACACAAGACACGAGGAAAAACCCCAGCACAGCAGAAAATAAAAATCCACGTGGTGGTTTTGAGGGTAATAAGAAACATGGAAATAAATGAGTGTTCTTAATTTTCTTTTCTTTCTTTCTTTTTTTTTTCTTTGCCTGTTCTGGGGCTTAAAATCTGGGCTGGGTGCTGTCCCTGAGCTTGTTTTGCTCAAGGTGAGCACTCTACCACTTGAGCAATAGTGCCACTTCTGGCTTTTTTTGAGTAGTTTATTGGAGGTAAGGGTCTCACAGACTTCTCTGCCCGAGGTAGCTTTGATTCTCCATCCTCAAATCTCAGCTTCATGAGTAGCTATGATTACAGGTGTGAGCCACCGGTGCCTAGCTGTGTTCTTAATTTTCTAATTCCCAACATACATGTCATCTACCAATCTGTCCATCCATCCATCCATCCATCCATCCATCCATCCATCCATCCATCCATCCATCCCACTCAATCACTCATCCACTCATCTACTTAACCACTTATCCATCCATCCACCTGTTTATCTAGCCATCCACCCACCTACTCATCCACCTACCCATTCATCTACCCATCCATCCACCCAACCATCCATCCAACAAGTACATACACTAATAATGTCAACATGGCCTGTGGAAGGGGCATGTCATCATTTGAATTCCAGAGATGGAGTCAAATGCCTTTTTAAATGATATGCAAAACCTCACCCTTTGAACAGTACTAAAATCCAGAAAACTCTAAACACTGGGGACTATTTTGTATTTGGAGAAAGACTTTATGAGCAACACAACCTGATGTGCCTGTGATCCCAGGTACAAAGAAGGTAACAGGTAGGAAGTTGAAGTCTGAAACCAGCCCTTTATAAAAATTCAAGAGCCTATGGCAAAAATAGCAACAGCAAAAAGGGTTGGGAGACCCGCCTAGTAAGTGGGAGGTCTTGAGTTCAAACCCTGTGTATGTATATAACATGATTTACAAGTGAAAAATTAGCAGCCACTAAACGCCTCACAAGAATCAAAATTTTACTGTGTAGTGTTGATTAAAGTTAAATTCTTGTAAATATTAACTGTAACACTTGAGGAACTTGGGATGAGATCTCGGTAAGGACAGGCACCCCGGCTATCCAGCACATGCATATGGGTTGCCTCCTCCTGCCAGGGGGCTAAGACGAAAAACACTGCTGAAAGATGGGAAACCCCTCTACAAACACATCTTCAGTTCCATGTGCCCCTCCCCAGAAAGCAAGGGGCCACAGTTTCCAAGGACTTGACTGTCGCTGGTCATTAATAACTCTGCATCCCATCCTCTGAGAGTCACCCTTCAAAGGAAGGAACAGCATAATTTAGCATTGGTTTTTTTGTGGGGTGAATGATTTCAGAATTCCTTCCCCATCCAAATTTGGAAATAAAGATGCTGCAGCTGGGCACCAGTGGCTCACTCCTGCAATCCTAGGTACTCTGGAGGCTGAGATGTGAGAGTTACTATTCTAAGCCAGCTCAGGCAGGAAAATCCATGGGACTCTTATCTCCAATGAATCACAAAAAAGCCAGAGGTGGAGCTATGGCTCAAATGGTAGAGTGCTAGCCTTGAGTGAAAAAGCTCAAGGACAGCACACAGGCCCTGAGTTCAACCTCCAGGACTGGCCTGTGCGCGCGCGTGCACGCACGCACACACGCACGCACATGCGCACACACAGGAGGTTGGGTACCAGGCCACACTGCCCTCCAGTAAGGCTCCTCCAAGACTGCGTGAGAAGCCTGTGGATGAAGGAGTGCTGCTGCTTTAGGTGAAGAAGTGCAAGTCTGACTTGGGGTGAGTAGCCACTGAGATAGAGTCAAGTTACATCTTCAGACTTGTGTGGGACAAGGAGTCCCTCTCTCCTTGTTGAGGACCAGGGGGTTGGGCCCATGTAACCCAGCCCGTGCTGTTGCACAGCAGGGAACACGATTTTTTTTTGTTAAGTTTATGTTGGTGAGGTGCTGGGTGATTACTATTATCATTGGTCCGAGAATGCCTTTATTTCACTTCCCTTTTTAAAAATGTATTACATGTCAGGTGCCATTAGCTCATGCCTGTAATTCTAGCTCCTCAGGAGGCTGAGATCTGAGGTTCATGGTTCAAAGCCACCCTGGGCAGGAAAGTGGGGGAGACTCTTATCTCCAATCAACCACCAGAAAGGGGAAGTGGCCCTGTGGCTCAAATGATAGAGCGCCATCCTTGACCAAAAAAGTTCAGGGACAGCACCCAGGCCCTGAGTTCAAACTCCAATACACACACACACACATACACACACAAATATTTGACACATAGTCTACAAATTTATATGTGCCATTATTATATTTATGTACAATTATATATTATTGCATCTTATATACATAATCACAACATATTGTACCACATAATCATGTAATAATATCGGCTATCTATTATATATAATTACAGCCACATCATATCATGAGTATTATTCCTGCTGTTACTACCCTATTTTGGGGGTGGGGGTGGGTGGGGATAAGCTGGCCGGAGAGAAACTGCCATCAAGTCCTGCGCTGTTTGGTGGCCAAAGGACAAAAATAAAGGAGGTGGGGGGGGAAGCAGAGACCGAACTAAAAACACCCCAAGTAGGAATGCGATCTGGAGGGCGGTTCTGCACCCCGCCCGCCCCGTTCCCTCCTTTCCCACCGGGCCGAGAGAGAGCGACCAGGAGGTTAAAATAAGAAGGCGGACCGCCCCCTTAGCGTGGTGTCTGCCTGGCCGTGGGGGGCCGGAGGGGGCTGGAAATAGCCACTGGGGTGGGAAAAGCCAGCTTGGCGACCGGAGCGGGAGGCTGCACCCCGCCCGGCCGCGGCGGGGTAAACAGGACTCGGGGTGCCGCGGGGATGCGCGGGGTAGGGGCGAGGCCCGGCGCGCGCACCGCGGGGGAGGGAGGGGAGGGGGGGAGGGGGAGGGAGGGAGGGGAGGGGGGAGAGGGGAGGGAGGGAGGGGAGGAGGGAGAGCGCCCCCCCCCCCCCGCCCCCAGGCGGGCTGTCTTTAACACAAACACTTGGTTAATAAACAGTTCGGGATTCTGTTTTGTTCTGAAGCCCCTCGGAGAAACTTTCCCGGCTCCCAGCGCAGGCAAAGCCGGGGGGCCGCGGGGAGGGGCGCGCGAAGCACCGGCGGGCCGGGGCCCCCCAGACTCAGGGATGTGGGGTGAACAGCGAGAAGAGGGCGCCGAGGAGCCCCAGGAGCCCCCCTCCCCCCCCCACAACGCCGAGGGTTTGGGGTGAAAAGGTGAGAGAGGGGTTCCCGGAAAGCCCGATTTTCGGGGAACTTGGGGATGAGAGGAGTCGGGGACTGACTTCTTGATCAACGAGTGAGAAGAGGGGTTCCAGGGAGGAACCCCCCCCAAAAAAACCCCTGAGTATGCCCATGGCCCAAAGGAAAAAGTAGCTTCTGGGACACCCCAAATCTCTTTTTGGTCAAAGAGTGAGAAAGGGAGCTCCAGGGACCCCCTAAAACAGGTAGCTCCTGGGGCACCCCAAAGCTAGGAATGAGCGGCCAAAACGAGAAGAGCGCCCCTCCTTCACTGGGGGAGCTTGAGGCTCTCGACACAAGGGTCCCCCCGGGGGCGCCCCAATTTCAGGAAACTCGGGGCGCTCTGTGAGAGGAGATCTCCGGGCGCCCCTCACTCAGTTCAAGATTTGGGAGTGAACGGTCGGTTCCGGGGAACCCCCAGAACCCCCAGGCAGGGCGTTTTTCGGGGTAGGAGCGGGGGACCTCGCGAGCCCCGACATGGAGAGATCCAAGTAGGAACCCCCCCCTACTTTTGGAGACTGTGGATGGAGAGTGTGAGGGGGGGCTCCTGAGCGCCCCCAATTCGGCGCGTGTGAGCGTAAACGCCAAGAGGGGGGTCCCCCCTCAGCGCCCCTCACTTCGGGAAGTTTTCTAACAAGTGAAGCGACGCGTGCGTCCGCCGCTGGGGTTCACAAGAGGAAGGGGGCGTCGCCAGAGGGGGCCCCCCCAAACTCAACCGGACCAAGAGGCGAGGTTCCCCCTCGCCACGGGACGCGGTACCTCGGAGGCGTGGGGTGCTCGGTCGGGTGTGCTCCCCGACCCGCGACGCCCCCCCATCTCCGAGCGGGGTCCCCTGCCCCCCCCCAGCCACACCCCGCACTGCCCCGGCCGGGCCGGATGGCGTCGGTCACCTGGAGTTCGGGCCGGGAGTTCGGGCAGCGGCTCCCGCGGCGGCGGCTGCGTGTTGGTCCCCGTTGGTAAGTAACAGTCTCCACGGCTACAGTCTCTATGGCGGCGCTGGCGGCGGCGGCTCCTCCTCCGGCTCCCGCCGCCCGCCCGGCCGCCGGCCTCTCGTCGCCCGCCAGTCCACCCGCCGCGACAAGGGGCGGGGCGCGCACCTCTAACGGCCCGCCCACGCCCCTCCTCCAACGGGCGCGGGGAGGGCGGGGCGCGGGGCTGCGCGGCGTCCCAGTGGCTGCGCGAGGTGCCTGTTACGAGGGGGCGTGCCCCAGCCGGGAAGAGGGAGAGGATCGGCCAATCGCTGGGCTGGAGGGCGGGACCTGGAGGGAGGCGCGCGCGGCTCGGAGGAGGTTGGCGAAGGCGGTGGCGGCGGAGGCGCGCGCGGGCCGCGGGCAGTGGAGAGGTCTTGAGGAGGTCGGTTTCCCCGCATCCCTCTGCGGGCTTGGTTGGTACCAGCTCGCACAAGATGAGAATTTTGAGGGTTTTTAAAAAAAGACATAATCAATCATCATCATCTCCTGCACCGTTGAAAACTATAGGCAACTACTTTTTTCCCCTATCTTATTGAATACGCATTTTCAACAAGTGTCAGAGGTTGGAGGCTTGCAGCCTGTGGTCCCTGCCTGCCTTCTTGTGTTTGCAAATAAAGTTTTATTGGAAGCTGCCTTTGAACAGGCTCAGCTAGGGGGCATTGGGGCTGGGGGGGAGGCAGACATAAAACCTAAAATACTACCTGGTCCTGGAGGAAAATGTTTGCCAAGTGCTTTCCCACGAGGCAACTCTTCCGATGTTACACTGCAGAAACTCTAGGCGTCAGGCAGAGGAGAAATGAAGTGAATACATTCACCTGGGTTAAAAAAACTTCAGGGCTGGGAAGGTGGCTCTGTGGTAGAGCTCTGGCCTAGCATGCATGAAGCCCTGGGTTCGATTCCTCAGTACCACATACACAGAAAAAGCCAGAAGTAGTGCTATAGCTCAAGTGGTAGAGTGCTAGCCTTGAGCAAATGAAGCTCGGGGTCAGTGCCCAGGCCCTGAGTTCAAGCCCCAGGACTGGCAAAAAAAGAAAAGAAAAAAACAAAACAAACCTTCAAAGCAGGTGCTGTGGCTCATGCTTAGTGCCAAGCATGGATATAGCATCACACTTAGACTAAAGTTTCACTCAATTTATTCAAACATTTGGAGTATATCAATATTAATCCACACCAATAACTCTTAGACTCAATTCTACTGAGCATGGCTCATACCCAGAGAGCCCATGTGGCAGGTCACTTGGTCCAAAGGTCAAGGGGGGGGTCAGTCAAGATTGTCCTCTGGGCTGCTCTGAATAGTTGGATGGAGTAATGGCCGCCTTGGGGGAGGGGGTGTTGTTCAAGTGAAGGGTCAGTCCCACGCAGAGTCCTCTCGCTGGGGAAGGTCATCTCTGCTCCGCTGCCTTGGGTTTTTATGTTTGAGGCTGGGCGTCTTCTCTTCTGGTTATCCCTGCAGGTTCTCCGGCAGCAGGATGCCCTGGTAACGTCTTTAGCTCTGGGTGTGACCTTATCTCTGTATTCCATGCTACATAGTTCTAACTCCCAGTTTCACAGCTGAATATTTCATAGCACACATACACTCGATATTCCATATTCAATAACACACTATATCAATGTTCCATAATACTCACTACATGCTTGCAATTCCAGCTACTCAGGAGGCTGAGATCTGAGGATCATGGTTTGGAGCCAGCCCAGGCAGGAAAGTCTGTGAGACTCTTATCCCCAGTGAACCACCAAAAAGCCAGAAGAGGAGCTGTGGTTCAAGTGGTAGAGTGCCAGCCTTGAGTAAAAAAGCTCAGGGACAGGACAGCACCCAGGTTCTGAGTTCAAGTGTGAGGACTGGTGTGTGCATGCATGCACATGCATGTACACACACACACCAGACAGAAATGAAAAAAGAAAAACAAAAAACACTTCAACCCAACCCTGTAGCACCAAATATGTTAGAACAAGCCTGACTCCGTAATCTCTGGGGGATTTTTTTCTTGGTAGTTTGTGTATGTGTGTGTGTGTGTGTGTGTGTGTGAGAGAGAGAGAGAGAGAGAGAGAGGCAGGCAGAGACAGAGACAGACAGAGACAGAGACAGAGACAGACAGACAGGCACAGAGACACAAACACAGAGACACAGAGAGATCTCCACTTTGGTTTTTTTAGTGATTGATTGGAGATAAGAGTCTCACAGACTTTTCTGCCTAGACTGGCTTTGAATCCTGATCTTCAGATCTCAGCCTCCTGAGTAGCTAGGATGACAGCTGTGGGCCACCAGGGCTTCTCATGGACAGTAATCTCTAAGTCAGTCCTTAGAAGAGCGGGGATTCCAGCCATGGAAGGTAAGAGCTGCTTTCACTAGCCTATTGAGCCAACTGCAGCCTAGCATCAGGTCCTAGCCTCCAGCAAGGAGAGCCATTTTCTCCCCTGCCATGAGGAAGGAAGGAAGGGACATTGAATGACACCTGTCCAGAGAGGTCCAGCCTCACTGTTGAACCCCAGACCAAAGGCAATGCTTGGAAGGCCGCCTGGCTGCTCCAAGGGAGGCCTAAGCCACCCCACCCCCACTCCAGTCATCACCACGTGGCTGTTATCTATTAGTATGTGAAATTTTTAAAACTACCCTGTGAAGCTGGGTGCTGGTGGCTCATCACACCTGTCATCCTAGCTCCTCAGGAGGCTGAGATCTGAGGATCACAGTTCAAAGCCAGCCGGGTAGGAAAGTCTGTGAGAATCTTATCTCCAATGAACCACCAGAAAACCAGAAGTGGCACTGTGGCTCAAGTGGTAGAGCACTAGCCTTGAGCTGAAGAGTCCAGGAACAGCGCCCAGGTTGAGAGTTCAAGCCCCACAACCAACAAGACAAAACAAACTTACCATGTGACTATCTGGCCTTGGTGGCACACCTGTCATCCTAATTACGCAGGAGGCTGAGATCTGCGGACCATAGTTTGAAGCCAGCCTGGGTAGGAAAGTCCGTGAGACTTTTTTTTGGGGGGGGGGGGGGGTCCGGTTGTGGGGCCTGAACTCTGGGCCTGGGCGTTGTCCCTCAGCTCTTCAGCTCAAGGCTAGCACTCTACCACTTGAGCCACAGCGCCACTTCTGGCTTTTTTCTTTTTGCTTATGTGGTGCTGAGGAATTGAACCCAGGGCCTCAGGCATGCAAGGCAAGCGCTCTACCACTGAGCCACCTTCTCAGCCCGCCCCCCCCCCCCCCCCCCCCCCGCGAGACTCTTATCTCCAGTGAGCCACCAAAAATCCAGAAGTGGAGCTGTGGCTCAAAGTGGTAGAGCACTAGCATTGAGCAAAAAGCTCAAGGACAGGACCCAGGCCCTGATTTCAAGCCCCTGGACTGGCACAAGGGTGGGGGGTAGAGAGACACAGACAGAGAGACAGAGAATGCCAGCCAGCCAAATCACAGGACTGAAGAAAATTAGATAAGGCCAGAATATAAGAAAGCTGCGCCCCTGGGAACTTTCTAGATTCTAAAGAGAATCTTTCTCAGTGGCTGGAACTTTTTCCCCTCCCACAGCTGTTTTTCTCCTTTGACAACTAGAAGGCGCTGGGAGGGTGGGCAGGAGGAGCGCGGGCTGCCGGGAGGACATTTCATTTGGCTCGGAGCTGCCTGAGCCCTCAGCCTCTTGGGAGAAAAAGAAACAAGCCTCATGCTTCCCGCCTGGGAAGAGTGGATTTGTTGTGGAAGCACCTGTGCTCTATTTAGATCTTTTATTCTGTTTATCTACTTATTTGTTTGCTTGCTTTGCAAGTGCCTTCTTTCTTTCTGACATCACAGTTCTCTGAGTCTAGGCCCTTCCCTTGACAAACTGTGGTGACCTTGATTAGCCTTGGGTAGGGAAAGCTGAGCCACATAAAGCCCCTTAAAAAAAAAAAAAGAAAGAGTAGGGGTGGCTGGGAATATGGCTGAGTGGTAGAGTGCTTGCCTAGGATGCATGGAGCCCTGGGTTCGATTCCTCAGTATCATATACACAGAAAAAGCCACAAGTGGTACTCTCCAGTAGTAGAGCGCTAGCCTTGAGCGAAAGAAGCTCAGGGACAGTGCCCAGGCCCTGAGTTCAAGCCCCAGGACTGGCAAAAAAAAAAAAAAGCATTAGCTGGGCCCTGGTGGTTCACATCTGTAAATCATAACTTCTAGGAGGCTGAGATCTGAAGATCATGGTTCAAAACCAGACCAGGCAAGAAAGTCCGTGAGACTTATCTCCAATAAACCACTCAGAAAAAGCTGAAGCTCAAGGGGTAGAGTGCTAGCTTTGAGACGAAGCTCAAGCGTCCACGCTCTGAGTTCAAGCCCCAGGACCAGCACACGCACACAAAGAGAACATGTACTAAGATGAATAAATGAATGAATGAGTGAGTGAGTAGTGAGTGAACAGGGCCTTACAATGCCCCATTCTGGAAGTACTGTCTTCTGGGGAGGGGGAAAAGGGATAGACAGTACACTCAATGATGTCACAAGGGGAAGGTTCCAGAAGGTTCTGGAAGGTTCCAGAAGGTTGCTTGGGGGAAGGTTTGTGGAGGGAACAGCCGGTTCCCTTTCTTGCCCCCCTTGTCACCAAGGGGGTGACAAGGGCTTCCAGTTACCCGTATGTCATCTTTGCAGGAGAAACATCTGAGTGGCCACATGTCTCAGCCCCTGAAGCTATGCCAGGATGACCAGAGCCCTGCCCTGTGAAGGCTGGCACCCCGTAGTATCCCTGTGTCCATCTGAAAAGCAGGTGCGTGTGACTCTCTCAGACCCGAGCACTTATGCAGAGCCGCTGTGCCATTTATTTTTTGGTTGTGGGACTTGAACTCAGGGCCTGGGCACTGTTCTTCAGCTCTCACTCATGGCTCTACTACTTTGAGCCACAGCTCCACTTTCTGCTTTTCAGGTAGTTCATTGGAGATAGTAGTCTCCTGGGCTTTCCTGCCCGGCTGGGTTTGAACCTCAATCCTCAGTTCTCAGCCTCCTGAGTAGCTAGGATTACAGGTGTGAGCCACCAGCAACCAGCCCACTGTATTGCAATTGTTACTTTGTTATTGTCTACTGCTGCCTGGGTTGATGTTCCTTAATTGGAGATGGAAGTCTCTCTTACTTTTCTGCCCAGCTTGGCCTCAAACCATAATCCTCCTGATTTCAGTCTCCCAGGTAGCTAAGAGTACAGAGCTGAACCGGGCACAGTGGCTCGTTTCTGTAATCCCAGCTATTCAGGAGGTAGAGATAGGAAGCCTTGTATTCCAAGAGCAGTCCTGGGCAAAAGCAGGATATATCACCTGAAAAACAAATGAAAAACAAAAAAGGACTAGAAATACATCACAAGTCTCTGAGTTCAAGTCCCCAGCAGGGCTAAAAGTGAATAAAGAAAGAAAATGTATTGCAGGATATGCATAGATTATGTCTAAATATAAATCATCCTGTGCAAGCAAGGTACATGGCCATCTGAAGACCTTTGTGTGTGCAGGAAGTCTTGGAACCAAATCCATCAAGAATACCAAGAGATTCCCATCTTCAGCATAAATTGACAGGGTAGATAAAGGTGGTCCTGTCAGAATATCTTCCCTCTTCAGAGCCTTCAAATTGTTTTGTAGAAAAACCTACAGACCTAGTCCTCATAGTCTAGCCATTTGAGAGTCTTTTCTTTTTTTTTTCTGGAAACACAGATTAAATACCCTCTAAACTTCCATGTCTCTCTCATCTGGCATACAAACCATCTCCCCTTCTCCTAGGCCCAGGACAGACATGACTAACGGATCATAAGATTCCTGGCAGACGTGACCAATGGATGGGTGTTGAGCCCTAGTCCTGTCTTGCTAAGTTCCCTGCTCTTCTGCCTTGCAGTACAATGAAGAGTGATCCTTACAAACCTGGAAGGGCAGAGGCCCCGGTAACTCAAGAACAGGAGCCCGAGCCCCTCAAAGTGGACAAGAATTTAGCTCAAGGTATGTGCAGCCCACGGCATGAAGGAGAGAGAGAAGCAATGATTCCTCAAAGAGATCCAAGGCTTCCTTGCCCGGGACCCTGCTGGAGCACTCTGAAAGTCTCATTTGCATACAAGATCAATTTGCATATGCTCCCTTATTTGCATACATGATATTTGCATACAGACGCATCTTCTGCATGCATAAGCAACAATGGCTTAATATACCAATATGAAAATGTGACTATCACAGACTGCCTGAGGCTAGCTGGTTTATTACAACCCCTTCCCCTCAAGCAAGCCATGATCCTCCCAATCTCCTGGAAGTGGAGGGGCATACCACCACGCTGCTCAGCTTCCTGTTGGAGGAGGATAGTGATCTCACTGTGATTCTCCCCATCTCTCCCATTCCAGTAACTGGGATTACAGGTGTGAGCCACTGCATCCAGCCTTCAACTTTCTTATATGCTTGAAAAGGCTTAGAATAAGTTGCTGGAAGACCTCATGAAAAATGAAAAATGCAGACGAAGTTTGAGTGGACCAATGTTGACTGTGCATTGAAACATACCCCTACCTCTGCTTCTTGTCTTTGCAAACTATAGGATCTCTATGTAATAGCCAGACAGTGCTGGGTAACAAAGATCTCTACTCAAGAGTATTGCAGGAATAACTCAACACTCAGTACCTTAGGCCCCAAAAGACCCCCACTAACAGCCCAAAGTTGCTAACTAACTAAAACTCCATGCCCCCATTCCTGGGGACTACAAACAGGTGCCGCTGGACTGTGGACCACCTACCGTGATGGAGCTGTCCTCCTCCGGCTTTCAAAGCATGGGCCTGGCCATGAGATCCCTGTGACCATCCCTGAACTATTTCAAGAGTCAGTCGACCGCTTTGGTGCTTATCCAGCCCTGGCAACGAAGAACAGCAGAAGCTGGGACACTCTGAGCTTCAGTCAGTATTATGAGGCCTGCCGCAAGGCCGCCAAAGCCTTGATTAAGGTAGGTGGGTGTTTGTCACCATCCAGGATGTCTCTGTCTCTCTGTCTCTCTGTCTCTGTGTCTGTCTCTCTCTCTCACACACACACACACACACATGCACACACATACACGCACGCATGTACATACAAAACACATGCATGTCTAGTACAAAATCCTCAAAATCTACAAGGCACCAAAACATACAAATGTTCTTCAGTAAATATTGTTCCTCTAATCTTTAATCATCAGTTATCCAATTACTCTCCAGGGAGGGAGCAACCTTTGTCCTGTGTGTGTTTGTGTGTGTGTGTGTGTGAGAGAGAGAGAGAGACAGAGAGAGAGACACAGAGAGAGACACAGAGAGAGAGAGAGAGAGATGGGATTTGAACTCAGGACATGAGCACTGTCCCTGAGCCCTTTTGCTAAAAGCTAGCACTCTTACCACAGGTCTGCTTCCAGTCTTCCAGTCATTAGAGATAAGAGTTTCTAGGACTTGCTGGGCACTGGTGGCTCATGCCTGTAATCCTAGCTACTAAAGAGTCTGAGATCTGAGGATCAAAGTTCAAAGCCAGCCTGGACAAGGAAAGTCCATGAGACTCTTATCTCCAATGAACCAACCAAAAACTGAAAGTGGCACTGTGACTCAAGTGGTAGAGCATTCACCTTGAGCTGCAGAGCTCAAGGCCTAGAGTTCAAGCCCCACAAGTCTCTAGGACTTTTCTGCCAGGGCTGGCTTCAAACCATGATCCTTCGATCTCAGACTCCTGAGTAGCTAGGATTACTGGCATGAGCCTGGCACCCAGCCCTGAGCTTTTTCACTTAAGGCTGGTGCTTTACCACTTGAGCCACAGCTCCACTGCTGGCTTTTGGGTGGTTACTTGGAGAGAAGAGTCTCACGTAGAGTAAACAGACAAAAGCACCCACAATCACAAGCAACCTCCTAGGTTTGAGGCTCAAAGCTGGCTGGCCAAAATGGAGCCCACATTTTGAGTCTATTCTGTCCCATAGTAAGGATGAGATCAAAGCTACAGGTAACTCACCTGGGGGCTCCTTCATGGCTGTCCTCTTCTGTCCCCCCTCCCCCAGCTGGGCTTGGAGCGCTTCCACGGTGTCGGCATCCTGGGCTTCAACTCGGTTGAGTGGTTCATTGCGGCCCTCGGGGCTATCATGGCAGGGTAAGTTTGGCGACGTGGTGCATTGTGGGTGATGAGCTGCTGCCCGGGGCTGGGCAGTACTGGACCGCCTCAGACACCAGCAGGAATTTCAGATGGAGCCCTGGGGTCAACAGGCAGGTGTCTGTGATCTCTGCTTCTGATTGTAGGTTAGGCTATAACATGTTTCTTACCATAGTGGTCCAGGATGAGTCTTAACTTCAGCTGCAGAGCTCTGAAACAATGATCACAGAGAATAGCTACAGATTTCTGCTTATGTGCAAAACATCCTATAAAAGCTCAGAATAGGGAACTGCCACGCTGTTCATGAGGAAACTGAGGCTTGGGCAGCCAATGAGCAACAGAGCCTGCACCCCACACCAGATCCTTGACAGAGGGAGAGGAGGGGGAGAGAGAAAGACAGACAGAGACAGAGATTGTGGGTAGACTTCCTTACCTCACTGTTTTTTTGTTCTGTGTCAAGTTACCACGAGGAGGGTTCAAGCCTGAAAATGACCCCTCAAAGAAAAAAAAGCAGCTGAGCACATCCTAGCCACTCAGGAGGCTGAGATCTAGAGGATAGAGGTTTGAAGCCAGCCCAGGCAGGAATGTCTGAGAGACTCTTATCTCCAATTAACCAGCAAAAAGCTAGACTGGGGGCATGTCAGTGGTGACAGAGCGCCAACTGTGAGCAAGAAAGCCAAGTCTGAACTAGGTCCTGAATTCAAGCTACAAAGAAGCAAAAAAGAAGGAAAGGAAGAAGGAAGGAAGGAAGGAAGGAAGGAAGGAAGGAAGGAAGGAAGGAAGGAAGGAAGGAAGGAAGGAAAGAAAGAAGAAAAGAAGGATGGAAGGGAAAAATCATTTTTAGTATTGTTTGTTCATCTTGGGGTCTCTCCCTCTTGGCAATAAAACAAAATGTGGGCTGGGAATGTGGCTCAAGTGACAGAGTGCTAGCCTTGAGTGGAAGGAGCTCAGGGGCAGTGCCCAGGCCCTGATTCAAGCCCCGGGACAAACATAAAAAAAGTGGTCTACCCCTACAGCCATAAAACAGGAGGAAGTCTATGGGCACTGAGGGAACTGGTCTCGGTGGGTTTTCTGGGCCCTGCAGTGGACTGAGCAGCCTCCCTGATCCCTGCCTACTCCATGCCGTGTTCCCAGACTTGGCCCAGTGTCACTTAAAGACGGAGCCAGACCAGATGAGAAGTACAAATATAACACATCTATGATGGGAAAACAAAATAGAAGTTTATTGTTTTCCTTTGTGTATCTAAGCCATTTTCTTTTCTTTAAAATAGTTTTTAATATTTTTAATTTTTATCCTTTTTTTGCCAGTCCTGGGGCTTGAACTCAGGTCCTGGACACTGTCCCTGAACTTCTTTTCCTCAAGGTTAGCATTCTACCACTTGAGCCACAGCACCACTTCTGGCTTTTTCTGTGTATGTGGTACTGAGGAATCAAAGCCAGGGCTTCATGCATACTAGGCAAGCACTCATTCCCAGCCAAATTTTTATCTTTAAGTAGCTGTACAAAGCTGTTTCAAGTGAACATATCAATTTTTGAGTACAATGTATCTTCGTTAGTAAGTCTCCTCCTATCAGTCTCCCCAATTTCTCCCCTCTCCTAATCCATTTTCTAAGAAATAACCACAGATACACATGTATACACACAGAGAGGTAGAAATGTATACATACGCATGTCATAGTGTAACCTTTTTAAATTCCACTTATACGATAATTTTGCTATCTAAGCTGCTTAAAATACTCAGCCAGCCTGGGCACAGGTGGCTGACACCCGTTATCCTAGCTGCTCAGGAGACTGAGATTTGATTATCATGATTGGAAGCCAGCCCAGGCAGGAATATTTGTGACACTCTTCTGGCCAATTAAAACACACAACACAAAAAAAGCCAAAGTGGAGCTGTGACTTAAGTGGTGGAGTGCCTGCCTTGAACACAAAAGCTCAGAGACAATGTCCAGTCTCTGAATTCCAGCCCCAGGACTGGTGTGTGTGTGTGTGCGCGCGCACACACACACACACACAGAGAATATTCAGCCAAGTCAACCCCCTCTTCCCTCCCCATTCTGCCACAGAAACTTGATATTCTTTTGCTTTGACAAGCTGTGGTTTATGTGGCTGGACATTTGAGCTGCAATACCCAAGCCTGACCAGAAGGGGGCACACTTGTCCCTTATGTCCACCTCTTTTCAGTTGGGGATTTTGACTAGATTCTTTTCTGTGTGTGTATGTGCATAACCATACTGGCGCGCTGTCCCCCAGCTCTTTTGCTCAAGGCTGGCATTCTATCACTTGAGCCACAGCTCCACTTCTGGCTTTTTGGTGGTTCATTGGAGATAAGAGTCATAGGCTTTCCTGCCTAGGCTGGCTTTGAACCATGACTGTTAGATCTCAGCTTCCTGAGTAGCTAGGATGACAGGTGTGAGCCACTGGCACTTGGCAGTTGGTTGTGTTTTGAATACAATCATGTTTATGGGAGGGCTGGTCAGGACCTCTGTCCTCCTCCCATCATTGGTGCCTGGCCTCTACTAGACAATTTGAGAGTATCTGACGTGCACATGTGTGTATGTGTGTGTGTGTGTGTGTTACTGTGATTTGAACTCAGGAGAGGGTCTCTACCAAGAGCCATGCCTCCACCCATCTTTTGTTCTGGTTGTGTGTGTGTGTGTGTGTGTGTGTGTACACATGAGAGGCAAAATGGCTTTCTCAGACTCCCACAGTGATTGAGTGAAGACTGTGTGACCCAAACTAAGGTTTGTCTGACCCCAGATCATGAATAGTAGCAACAGCAACAAGAATAGCAGTAACTGGAGAGGACCAAATAACATTAGCCAGTGGTGGCTCACACCTATAATCCTAGCTACTTAGGAGGCTGAGGATTGAAATCCAAAGCCAGCTTAGGCAAGAAAGTCTGTGAGACTCTTATCTACAATAAACCACCAAAAAGCCAGAAGTGGAACTGTGAAGTGAAGCCTCAGCCTTGAGTAAGAAAGCTAAAGGAGGCTGAGAATGTGGCTTCGTGGTAGAGTGCTTGCCTAGCATGCATGAAGCCTTGGGTTCAGTTCCTCTATACCACATAAACAGAAAAAGCCAGAAGTGGTGCTGTGGCTCAAGTGGTAGAGTCTAGCCTTGAGCAAAAGAAGCTCAGGGACAGTTCCCAGGACCTGAGTTCAAGCCCAGGACTGGCAAAAAAAATTAAAAATAAATAAAAATAAAAGAAAGGTAAAGGACAGCACCCAAGTCCTGACTTCCACCCCCAGTACTGGCACAAAACACTGGGGTGGGGGGGATCTGCGGATGTCAATGGTAAGAACCCTCATATGATTTTTTTTGTTTTCCAAATTTCTTCTGAGCATGTATCACCCCTGCCTTCGGCGAATGGAGATAAATGTCAAGTTCAGGGTGGACACTGGGGTGGCATGTGCAGGGTGAACTCAGACGTCAGAGCACACCTTGGTTCCGATCTTGGGTACTCTGCTATCCTGTTGCCTGTGAAATCGAGGATGATCATCTCCTAGGACTGTAGGCAGACTCAGTGAGAGCCAGCCAGCACGGAGATGGTGGTGTGCATTCACAAACAGCAGGCACGGTGGGGGCGGGGCTTAGGTGGTAGGGGTGTGGCTACAGGGCTGGGTGTGGCTCAAGTAGGGGAGCCTGGCTAGAAGGTCCAGGCAGCAGGGCATGTGGTAGGGGCGTGGTTAGAGTGACAGGTGGGAATCAAGCAGCAGGGGTGTGGCTAGAGTGGTGGGCGTGGCTGGACTACTGGAGGCGTGGCTATAGTGTTGAGGATGGAGTTAGACTGGTGGGGCAGAGCTGAAGAACCAGGCATGACTATAAGGGCTGAGGCGTGGTTATGTAATGGGGCGGGGCTTAAGTGCTAGAGGAGTGGCTATAAGCACCAGGGGGTGTGGCTAGCAGGGTGGGCGTGTCCAATGGGTGATGGGCGTGGCTCCAGTGTTAGAGCACATGCCTTGCAAGCAAGGAAGTCCTGAGTTCAAACCTCAGGACCACCAAAAACCACAACAGGAGGCCTTGAGCCAAAACAAATCCTCAGTTTATTCCAGGTGGTATTAAATCACTAACACACACACACACACACACACACACACACACGCCTGTGTTTTCCTTCCCCAGGGGCCTCTGCGTTGGCATTTACGCCACCAACTCTTCGGAAGCTTGTCACTATGTCATCACGCATGCCAAGGTGGACATCCTGCTGGTGGAGAACGACCTCCAATTACGCAAGATCCTCTCGGTGAGGCCTCGCCTGCCAGTCACCTGGAGACGACAAGGCCGGGGCTGGTGACTTAGGTGATGGCCAAGTGGGGTGATGGGGTGCACCCCAGGAACAGGTGCGATGTCACTGGTCGTAATGCAGCATGGCCTAAAAGCTGCCTTCATCTCCCTGCGCTGCCCTGAGCCACAGGGGAGAACCCCAGGGGTCCCCACCCCAGGCTGGTTGTGCTCAGTCAGACAGAGCAATGCTGGGATGGTGAAAGAAAAGCTGGAGTTGCCACAGGGGAGTGGGGGGGGGGGACCCCGAAGCCCAGAGAGATCTCTTTCAGATCCCACAGGATGGGCTGGAGACCCTGAAGGCAATCATCCAGTACAAAGAGCCCATGACCAGCCGCGACAACCTGTACTGTGTAAGCCGCTGGGGGACCGGGGGGGGGGGGGTTCTCTACCTTGTCTTGTTTTTCTTCTCTACCTTGTCTTGTTTTTCTTCGTGGTCTTTGGAAGACTGAGAAGTGTTTTAATTCTGGCTCAGTTCATCCACTGTTTTGTGTGTGCCAGTACCGGGGTTTGAAGTTAGGGCCTTGCTCAGCTTGATTGCTGGTACTCTTGTACTTGAGCCCTGCCTCCAGCCCTGCTTTTTGCTGGTTAGTTGGAGATAGAACTTTGTCATTTTCTGACAGGAGTGACCTCCAAGTTGTGATCCTCTGGATCTCAGCCTCCTAATTAGCTTAGGGTTAGCATTTTTCCCCCCATTTGTGCTTTTGGTGTTATATCTTAGAAATCTGTGTTTACTGGACAATGACTAGACAGTCACCAATGAATATTGGCAGGTACTGGACACAGTCCTGGAGAGACCTCATCTGCACTCTCCTAAGAGTATGGGTCACCTAGAAGCTTCCTTTGTTAGAAGGGAATCTTGACTACGAGATTTCTTAGCTGTACATTTGGGGCAGATGATTCATGTAATCTGCTACCTGGGGTGCTGTGGGGGCGCTGAGCTCCTTCCCTGTCACCTCCTACAAGGCCATAGAGTTCTTCCTGTTGACATAACAAAAAGATCTCCAAGGGGCTGGGAAGGTGGCTCAGCGGTAGAGTGCTTGCCTTGCATGCATGAGGCCCTGGGTTCGATTCCTCAGCACCACATAAGCAGAAAAGGCTGGAAGTGGAGCTGTGGCTCAAGTGGTAGAGGGCTCACCTTGAGCTGAAGAACTCAAGGACAGTGCCCAGGTCCTGATTTTAAGCCCCAGGACTGGCACAACAAACAAACAAAAAACCCTACAACTCAAATATTTGTTCACACCTGTCATCCCAGGTACACAGGAAGAATCAGTAGTGAATCATGTTTTGGGACAGTCTAATACACAAGTCGATACTAGAAAAGAACGAATTCAACAAGGTCTGGATATGAGGCCTCGAGTTCAAACCCCAGTACTATTCCTCCTCCAAAACAAATTACTTTAGATACATATTCATTAGAAACAAACCAAAGAAGAAACTCAGCATGGAAACTGGGAAACAGCAGAATAAGACAATTCTTGAGTGTGTGCTGGGTATGAATTTACAGACCCAACAGCTTGGGGGGGGGGGCTGGCCCCATGTGTCCCTGACTGGGTCAGGGCAGCACATTCTACGGCCAGCTCCCGTCTAATTACAGATGCCACAGATAGGCATTCAGCAAGCTGCTAAGGAGACACTCCAGTGCAGGAGGGCTTAGCATGTCTCTCAGAATGCAGGGATGACCAAAGGGATCTTTCCATGTCCCCATCCATTGGAGATTCCTGCACATGTGTGCCTGGCTGGAGGTACATGACGCTAGCCATTTCTAGGAGGGGTTCTGCAAGTGACATCACTACATACACCTCCCCCCCCCAGTGCCTTGTTGAGGTTTGGTGGTAAAATTCCTTTGTCTGGGCTGGGAAGGTGGCTCAGTGGTAGAGTGCTTGCCTTGCATGCTCGAGGCCCTGGGTCCGATTCCTCAGCACCACATAAGCAAAAAGAAAAAAGCCGGAAGTGGCGCTGTGGCTCAAGTGGTAGAGCCAAAAAAAAAAAATTCCTTTGTCCTCCCCCTCCTCCTCCTCCTTCCTCTCCTTCTCCTCTCCCTCTCTTTCTCTCCCCCCCCCCCCCCCGTTCTCTTATTCTTCTATACTGGAAAGTGAACTCAAGGCTTCATGCTTGCCAGACAGGTGCTCTACCACTTGAACCACACCTCCAGCCCCTATTGTCATTGGTTATTTTTGAGGTAGGGTCTTGATTTCTGCCCAGGCCAGCCTAGACTGCAGTCTTCCTACTTATGCTTCCCTGGGTTGTCAGGGATGACAGGCAGATGCCACTGCACCCAGCCATTGTGCTTCTCCTGAATAACAGATGTGTGTCACTACACCCTGGAATCTCTCTAGAACTTTTCTGCTTGATCTAATGTCAAACTGCAATCCTCCTGATCTCTGCCGCCCAAGCAGCTAGGATTACAGACATGAGCCATGGAGTTTCTGCACGGGGAAGTATTCACCAACTTGGATGGTGGTAAGAGCACAAGGCTCTGTCTTCCTGCCATATAGAGCTGCATGTTAGCTCCTGGTTGTTGGCTATGAAGAGATAACACCTACTCTCAGTAGGGTCACTATTGATTGCAACCTGGCCCCAGTTAGTTTAAGCAAAAGAAGATAATTTGATGGCTCATGTAATTACAGCCCAGTGTGTGGATTTCAGGCATGGTTGAAACCAGGAGGTCAAAGACTCTGAGCTTTATTTTGCTCTCTCTCCTTCCTTCCTTCCTTCCTTCCTTCCTTTCTTCCTTCCTTCCTTCCTTCCTTCCTTCCTTCCTTCCTTCCTTCCTTCCTTTTGGGTCCAGTCGTGGGGCCTGAACTCTGGGCCTGGGCGCTGTCCCTCAGCTCTTCAGCTCAAGGCTAGCGCTCTACCACTTGAGCCACAGCGCCACTTCCAGCTTTTTTCTTTTTGCTTATGTGGTGCTGGGGAATCGAACCTAGGGCCTCAGGCATGCAAGGCAAGCGCTCTACCGCTGGGCCACCTTCCCAGCCCCCCCTTTTTTTGCATGTGTGTGTGTGTGCTGGTACTGGAACTTGAGCCCAGTCCCTTAGCTTTTTTACTCAAGGTTGAGTCATAGCTCCACTTCTGGTTTTTTGCTGGTTAATTGGAAATAAGTCTCGTGGACATTCCTGCCCAAGCTGGCTTTGAACCATGATCCCAGCACTTGGGTGTCCCAGCATTCTCAGCCCAAGCCTTCATCTTCATTCTGATTGGGCTACCTGAAGTCACATGTCCAGGCCTTATCCAATCACTGTGGTCCCAGGCTGCTGGACTCCTTTGGCTTCAGCCAATCAGGCTTGTTCTCGAGAGGGGTCTTTGGGGAGAAGATGGAGGGCAGGGGACTGGGCGGAAGGAGGGGTCTCCATCTTCTGCCCTCCTCTGCCCCACCCCTCAGTGGGATGATTTCATGGAGCTGGGCAACTACGTTTCTGAGGTCCAGCTGGACCGCATCATCTTGAGCCAGAGAGCCAATCAGTGCGCTGTACTCATCTACACCTCGGGGACCGTGGGAAAGCCCAAGGGCGTGATGCTCAGCCACGACAACGTGAGCCACACGGGGGGGAGGAGGACGGGGGGGGGGACAGGGTCACCATCACGGGGGGGGGGTTGCAGAGCTGGGGGGTGGCGCTGAATTTCGGGAGCAGCAGGGGTCAAGGATTGAGTTTGGGGGTTGGGGGAGGTTGACCCAGGTCCAAACCTAGCTCTGTGCGGTGAGTGGGGTGTCTGACATCTCTGGGGGTCATGCTTCCTTGCCGGTGGTGGCTCTGAAGATGAAAGGGTCTCCTATTTCTAGGGAGCATAAAACGGTGCTGGGCAATATAATCACATGGGGGCAGTGAGTCTGATCCTAGTCTAGAGGGCAAAGCGGATTTCTCTTTTAATACTGGAGTTAGAACTCAGGATCGCCCACTTGCCAGGCAGCGGCTCTACCCTTAAGCCACGCCCCTGGCGCTTGAGCCACGCCTCTCGCGCAAGCCACGCCCGATCACCCAAGCCACGCCCTCTTCCACCAAGGCCAACTGGGTTTTGTGGTTTGTTTGTTTGTTTTGCCCAGACAGCAATACTCTTATTATCTATGCTTCCCGCAAAGATGGAACCACAGGCCCAACACCACCACACTCAGGGCTCCAAGAAGGATGTTTGATGTGGCGTCCACTTTGGACCCATTCCTGGACTCCCTTCAGATACCCAAACCTTCAGAGGTGCCTTACAGAGAATGGCATGGTATTTGCCTGGAACCCTCCGAAAGATCTGACTGAGGATCGTGGTTCAAAGCCAACCAGGGCGGGAAAGTCCATGAGGTTCTTCTCTCCAATTAACCACAAACCAAACAAACCAGGAGTGGCTCAAGTGAGCAAAAAAGCTAAGGGACAGCGTCCAAGCCCTGAGTTCAAGTCCCAGTGCAGGCACTTAACAAAACAAAAAAATCAAAAAGGCGTTGGGCGAGGTTGAAGCTGTTCATGTTGCCCTGTGTTCTAGATCACATGGATGGCTGGGGCGATGGTGAGGGACCTGGGGCTCAACGAGATGTCAGGGAAGCAGGAGATGGTGGTCAGCTACCTGCCCCTCAGCCACATTGCTGCCCAGATGATGGACATTTGGATACCCATCAAGATCGGGGCGCTCACGTTCTTCGCTCAACCAGATGCGCTCAAGGTGAGGCTGAGGGAGGCCCAGGGCCCATTGTATCTTCCCTCCCTTGGGGATGGAGCCTATTCTACTGGACAGGTGTTTGGTGAAGCTAAAGAGCTAACACTTTTTTTTTCTCTGTGTTCTTGTCAACTCATTGAATCACATTGGGAACAGCTAACCACATTTCTTTTAGTTTTAAGCATTATCCCAAAGTACAGTTACAGCCATTGTACCATGAACAATCCAAGATTAGGATGGAAATGTCATCCTAGCTACTCAAGAAGCTGAGATCTGAAGATCATGGTTCAAAGCCAGCATGGACAAGAAAGTCTGTGAGACTCTTATCTCCAAATAACCTCCAGAAAACCAGAAGTGGTGCTGTGGCTTAAGTGGTGGACTGCTAGCCAACTCCTAGGTTGAAGTCCCAGGACTGGCACACACAAAAAAAATATGAAAGCTCCAAAATTGAGGTTTTGGTAGCAAAGTCTGATATAAACAGGATTCCATTTATGGTGTCTATTTTATCCTCTTTACTAAGCAAATGGCTATATTTTAATGAAGAAATAATGTGATAGTGTGCAAATTTTCTCAGACGTCATTGGAGGAGTCATGTAATGGAAGGTACACTGTATCCCCCCACTTTTTTATTTTTTGGTGCCAGTCTTGGGGCTTGAACTTAGGGTCTAGGCACTTGAGCTCTTTTGCTCAAGGCTAATGCTCTTCTCACTTGAGCCACAGCTCCACTTCTGGCTTTTTTTTGGGGGGGGGGTTGTTTAATGGAGGGTAGTTTAACCCTGGGCTAGTATTAAACTGTGATTCTCAGATCTCAGCCACCTGAGTAGCTAGGATTATAGGCATGAGCTACTAGCACCCGGCTTAAGGTGCCATTTTTGGAGACAGTCCTTTCTGGAGGTTCTTGGAAGAGAATCCTTTGTTTCATACAGCTCCCTCCTCCATTTTCAGAGCCAGAAGCTCATTATGCTCCAGTCTGTCTTAAACACACACATACACACACACACACACACACACACACACACACACACACACTTCCGCTTACATCCTCACACCTCTCCTCTCCCCTCACCCTTCTGACTCCTCCTAAGAACACTGGTCATGATGCTGGTCCTGGATAAGCTAGGAGGGTCTTTTTCTCAAGATTTTCAATTTCCTCAGATCAGCAAAGACTTTTTTTTGCCATGAAAATGATGTCTTCTCAGATTCCACAGGTTGGAACCTGTTCAACCAGGCAGGCTAAATCTGAGGGTCTTGGTACTTCTTTCTAGAAGATTCTTTCTCCCATCTTCCACCTTGCTAACTCGTCACTTAGTTCTCTGCTTATTTCTTTAGTCTCCCTCTCTCCCTCTCTTGAATCCTCTATGATCAGCCTGAGATGCTAGATTATAGATATTCAATAAATAATTCCTTTTTGACTAAATACATAATATGAATCCATAATATAAAAATAGGTTAGATGTAGATATTGATATATTTGAGCTTGAACTCAGGAACTCTGTTCTCATTTGAATTTTTTTGCCAACTTGAACCACACCTCCACTTTTGGCTTTTGGCCAATCTTGAATTGTTCATTATACCTGGGGATAGTGGCTTTTGGCTGATTAATTGGAGATAAGAGTCTCCATTTGAAAGAGTATGAAAGAGTCTGACTGGATTTTGATTGGAGTCTCATTGAATCTCTAAATCTTTTTTTCCTTTTTCTTTTTCTTTCTTTCTTTCTTTCTTTTTTTTTTTGTACAAGACCGGGACTTGAACTCAGTCCTTCACACTTCCACTCATTGACTAGTGAGTGGTCTACCAATTGAGCCATGCCTCCAACCCTAGAATCTCTAAACCTTGTTGGGAGAATATTGCATCCTTTTAAACAGATGCGTAATGTATCCCACTACATGCTTGGACAAGTTCTTTTGCCAATCACCAGTCACTGAGCATATACATTTACATCCTATACCCAAAAAAATCTTGTTTGCATTTCTCTGTGTACGTCAGTCTTTCCTTTGCCCACTAAAGGTGGCGGGATGCTCCTAAAATACTGAGGATTGTTTCCACTTTACCTTCCTTACCCCCTCACCCCAAAAAAAGATTTAATAGTTAAACGCTGCCCCATCAAATCCCTACTGGGAGAAGAGAAAACTCGGGTTGGCTGACAGCCAGCCAATAAGATATCTCTCTTAGGTTGGGACCGCCCCTCCCCGCCCCGCTGATCCAATCAGCAAAGAGGAAGCTTCCACGTGGTCTTGGGGAAGGCGGGATGAGGATGGTCCCTCTCCGGCTCTGTCCCTTGCAGGGCACCTTGGTGAGCACCTTGCAGGAGGTCAAGCCGACCGCCTTCCTGGGGGTACCCCGAATTTGGGAGAAGATACACGACACAATCGAAGAAAACATCGCCAAGTCGTCGGGCTTGAAGAAGAAGGCATTTGCTTGGGCGAAACTGATTGGTTTGAAGGTCAACACCCAAAGGATGCTGGGGTAGGTGGAGGGGGCGTGGGGTGGGAGGAGGCCGGCCTCCCCTTTCCAGCGCAGTCCCTGGTCTCCTCTCTGCCTGGGGCGGGGCCGGGGGCGCTGGATCTCCCCTGGATTTGTCACAACTCCCAGGAAGCGGGACATCCCGGTGAACTACCGCATGGCCAAGGCCCTGGTGTTCAGCAAGGTCAAGCATTCCCTGGGCCTGGACCGCTGCCACTCCTTCGTCAGCGGGGCGGCGCCCCTCACCCAGGAGACCTGCGAGTTCTTCCTCAGCCTGGACATCCCCATCTGCGAGTTCTACGGCATGAGCGAGACCTCGGGGCCCCACACCTACTCCAACAGCAGCAACTACAGGGTTCTCAGGTAGCAGCCTGGGCACAGCCAACCCTGAGGACACTGACACTCCCCTGCCGCCGCCCCCTATCCTCCCCCAGGGGCTGGATAGAGGTGGGGGGAGAGGGGGCTGTCACCAAGGCCCAGATAAATCCTGACTGTGTGCAGAGGGTCTTTTTATGTTCAGCTGAGATCTCCCTACCTTTTTTTGCCCTGGCTGGCTCTGAACCACGATCCTCCTGATCTCTGTAGCTGAGATTATAGTAAAAGCCACCAATCCCGCCCAACATCCTGAGCAGTGTTTTAACGATTCATTGCCTCTTCCCTCATCCTCAGTGTACACTTGTAACCTCAGTGCATTTTCTCTCCATGGTCACCCACCTCAAACATTGGCTCTGTGTGTGTGTGCTGTGTCTGTGTGTATGTTGGTACTAGGATTTGAACTCTGGGCCTGGGTACTGTCCCTCAGCTCTTCAGCTCAAGGCGAGAGCTCTGCCACTTTGAGCCACAGCACCACTTCTAGTTTTCTGGTGGCTCATTGTAGATAAGAGTCTCATGGACTTTCCTGCCCAGGCTGGCTTTGAACTGCAATCCTCAGATCTGAGCCTCCTGAGTAGCTAGGATGACAGGTGTGAGCCACTGGCTCCCAGCCAAACCTGGGTTCTTCCTGGCTTTCTCCTGAGCTAGGCTCACCCCAGAGTGATACATAGATCCTTAGCATACCATTCTGTGGTTGGCAGCTGGGTTTGTTGTAGGGTTGGGAACATCAGTCCCAAAGGGCCACAGGCCATCAAGGCCCACAAAATCTTTTGGTCCAAAATCATTGCTGACTGTGGCAGTCTGCCTGTATTACTAATTTTGTATGGCCCTCAAATGATGTTATACGTATGCAGATGGCTCTTGGTATAGGTAAAGGGCTCCCCACCTGGCTTCACAGACCTCCTATCAGGACGGTCCCTGCCACCCTGTCTGTTGAGCCTGGCTATCTGTCTTCTTTGTGAGACTCTCAGGAAGAAGCAGAACAAAAAAAAACTTTCTTTTCTTTGCCTATAGCACTGCCTGCTTTTACAATTCACAGTGTGTTGCTGATAGGCAAGGTGCTGATGGTTCACACCTGGAATCCTAGCTACTTAGGAGGCTGAGATCTGAGGATTGCTATTCAGAGCCATCCTGGGCAGGAAAGTCAAGACTCTGATCTCCAGTGAACCACCAGAAAGGTGGGAAGTGGAGGTGTGGATCAAGTTGTAGAGTGCTAGCCTTGAGTGAAAAAGCTGGATAAGCAGCATTCACTCAAATAGGAGAGTACCAGCCATGAGCAAGCATGCTATGCAAAAGCCAGAAGTGAGCTTGGCACTGGTTGCTCACACCTGTAATCCTAGCTACTCTGGAGACTGAGATCTGAGGATTATGGTTTGAAGCTAACCTGGACAGTCCATGAGACTTTTTTTTTTTTTTTTTTTTTGCCAGTCCTGGAGCTTGAACTCAGGGCCTGAGTACTGTTCCTGAGCTTCTTTTGCTCAAGGCTAGCACTCTACCACTTGAGCCACAGCACCACTTCTGGCTTTTTCTGTGGATGTATACTGAGGACTTGAACCCAGGGCTTCATGCATGCTAGGCAAGCACTCTACCTCTAAGCCAACTTCCCAGCTCCTCTATGAGACTCTTATCTCCAATTAATCGCAGAAAAAGCCAGTAGTGTGGCACTGTGGCACTGTGGCTCAAGTGGTAGAATGCTAGGCCTCAAGCAAAAGGAGCTCAGGGACAGCACCCAGGTGCTGAGTTCAAGCCCCAAGACTGGCCAAAAAAAAAAAAAAAGCCAGAAGTGGAAGAGGTGTGATTGAAATGAAACAGCCTTGAGTGAAAGAGCGCAGGGACAGCATCCAGGCTCCGAGTTCAAGCCCCAGTACCAGCACAAAAAATGGACAACAACAACAATGATAATCCTGGACAGCACTGAGCACAGGCCTCCTCATGCCCACTGGCTCCTGCAGGGGGCCACCAGGCTGGAGGCAGGTGGGCCTGAGCGGATGGCGTCTCCCTGGGGCTCAGTTTCCCCCATTTCCCTGGCAGCTGTGGCAAGATCCTGAGCGGGTGCAAGAATATGCTGTTCCAGCCCAACAAGGATGGCATCGGGGAGGTATGCATGTGGGGCCGGCACGTGTTCATGGGTTACCTGGAGCGCGAGGAGGCCACGGCAGACGTGATCGACGAGGAGGGCTGGCTGCACTCGGGGGACCTGGGCCGCATGGACAACCAGGGCTTCCTGTTCATCACGGGCCGCATCAAAGGTACCCGGAGGCCCGGGGGGCCCCAGAGCTGGGCTCTGCATGGGCTCCCCAGCCACCCACCTTCTGTTCCATGACAGGCTATGCAGGGTAGCTCCACCCCACCCCGATGCAATCCAGGCTTAGGCTTCAGGCACATCCCTTGATTCCTCTCCCCGCCGGGGGTTGAGGCTTGGAAAAGACAAGCCTCAGACCTCCATTTCCTCCCCTGTAATATGATAGGAGAACATTGGGAGAGGAGGATTTTTTTTTAATTGTTTTGCCAGCCCTGGGGTTTGAACTCAGGGCCTGGGCACTGTCCCTGAGCTGTTTTTGCTCAAGGCTAGCACTCTATCACTTGAGCCACAGCACCACTTCTGGCATTTTCTGTGTATGTGATACTGAGGAATCAAACCCAGGGGCTTCATGCATGCTAGACCAGCACTTGACCACTGAGCCACCTTCCCAGCCCCATTGGAAAGGAGGCTCTTTTAAAGCTTGCCAAAATTTAGGGGTGCTTGAGTGTCAAGGGATAGAAAATACAATGAGAGACAGAGAGAGAGCATCATCAGGATGGTTCCCTGAACATTCCAGCAAGACACGGAGAAGCTAGGATCTGGGAGAGGGCTCCTGAGACTCAGGCAGTGAGTTATTAAGATGTTGTCCAAGGAGCCGGATGGGATGGCTCTTACTACAATTTCAGATACTTGTGAGGCAAGGATCAGGGAATGGTGGTTCAAGGCCAGGCTAGGTAAAAAAAAAAAAGTTAGTAAGCCCTCATGTCAATATAATAAGCTCTAGGTATGATAGTGTAACTCTGTAGTCCCAGCTATTCAGGAGGCTGTAAGTAGGAGAATGAGAATGAGTCTGGCCTGGGAAAAAATGCAAGACTATCTTTTTTAAGCATTTGAAAAAGTTGAATTTATTTATTTATTTGCCAATACTGGGGTTTGATCTCATAGCCCAATACTTTATTAGACTGGTACTCTGACACTTGAGACATGCCTCCATCCTTGCTTTTTGCATGGATATTTTGGGGATTGGTGGTGGGTCTTGAACTCAGGGCCTGGGTGCTGTCCCCGAGCTTTTCTGCTCAAGGCTAGTGTTCTACCAATTGATCCAAAACTTCACTTATAAGCTTTTTGTTGTTAATTGGATATGAGAATCTCATGGACTTTTCTGCCTGGGCTGTTTTTAAACAGTTCTCAGCCTCATGAGTTGTGAGGATTACAGGCATGAGCCACTAGGACACAGCTTGCTGGATGTTTTTGAGACAGGGTCTCACAAACTTTTCTGCCTAGGTTGACTTCTAGTGGTGATCCTCCTACTTTCAGCCTCCAGAGTAGCTGGGACTGCAGGCGTGAGTCACTGGTGTTGGGCAATTTTATTGAATTTTTTAGAAGTCAGTTTTAATAATGTTTTGGGTAGCGTCTTTGTAGAGTTTCCTAGATGTAACAAAAACAGCTGCAAACAGGGATTGTTTAACTTCTTCCCTTTAATTTGATTCTTTCTTATTTCATTGTGGCATAAGTGCTTCAAGCTGTCCAGACAGCAGTATGTTGAGTAATAACCAAAACACAAAGAGCCAAGAGCTGGTGGCTCATGCCTGTACTACTCAGGAGGCTGAGATCAGAGGATCACTGTTCAAGGCCAGGCCAGGCAGGAAAGTCCACAAGAGACTTATCTCCAAAGAGCCAATAAGAAGCCAAAAGTGGAGCTGTAGCTCAAGTGGTAGAGCACCAGCCTTGAGCACAAAAGCTCAGGGACAGCACCCAAGCTCTGAGTGCAAATCCCAGGACTGAGACACACACACACACACACACACACACACACACACACACACGCATGCACGCACGCTCAGAGCCATCCCAGTGCAGTGCACTGGGCTGACAGTCTTGGTAGGAAGCCACCACTTGCTGAGTTCTCTAAGGGAACACCACCATGGGTGACACAGGACTGGAGGGGGTTGGGGGTGGGGAGAGGGTTGTAGCTCCATGTCAGGCCCCGGATGATCCAGGTGTGCTTGCAGAAATCCTCATCACTGCTGGTGGCGAGAATGTGCCCCCCATCCCCATTGAGACCCTGGTGAAGGAGAAAATCCCCATCGTAAGCAACGCCATGCTGGTGGGAGATGGAGCCAAGTTCCTGAGCTTGCTCCTGACGCTCAAGGTGACCCTCCCGGGCTGCGCCCCCACCCCCGGGCCTGCATCCTGGCCTGAGTGGGGGGGGGGTGGATGGCATTGGCCGTGGAGCCTGTGGGGGTGACACAGGTGTCCCCCGGGTCAGTGTCAGATGGATCAGAAAAGTGGGGAGCCCCTGGACAACCTGAGCTGGGATGCCATCGACTTCTGCCAGAGTGTGGGCAGCCAGGCGAAAACCGTGCGGGACATCGTGGGTCAGCAGGACCCGCTGGTCTACAAGGCCATCCAGCAGGGCATCGACGCCGTGAACCAGGAGGCCACCTCCAACGCCCAGAGGATTCGCAAGTGGCTCATCCTGGACAAAGACTTCTCCATCCAAGGCGGGGAGCTGGGTGAGCGCCACACAGCCCACCGCTCTCATTGCACTGAGGTCTCAAGCTGCCAAGATCCTTTCCCTGCAGTAGAAGATCTGGTGGACTGACCACAGGGCCTGCCTGCTGCTCCGCCCTCAAACCCTTTCTCCCACCCCACCCCTGAGCCCTTCAGGCTCTTCTTGCCAGAGCAGGTAGCTCGAATGGTGAGAATAAGAGCCAGACTCCTCCCAGGGGAGCCATCCCCCCAAAGTCCTGCACAGCAGGGGGCTGCGTCCCCATCCTGTCACCATGCACAGGGGGAACAGCCAGGTACCGGGGCTCACACCTGGAATCCCAGCTACTCAGGAGGCTGAGCTCTGAGGATGGAGGTTCAAAGCTAGCAGGAAAGTCTGTAAGACTCATCTCCATTTAACCACCAGGGAACTGGAAGTGGCGCAGTGGCTCCAGTGATAGAGCACTGGCCTTGAGCAGGAAGCTCATGGACAGCCCCCAGGCTCTGAGTTCAAGACCCACAACCAACACACACACACACGCACACGCACATGCACACGCACACGCACACACACAGAGTGGGGAACCTGACCCCTCTCTCTGCCTTTCTCTGCAGGTCCCACGACCAAAATGAGGAGACATTTCATAATCCAGAAATACAAACCGCAGATCGACACTCTGTACTGCTGATACTGCTGACCATGCGTGCACGTGGCCAGCCTGGGGGTGAGACTCTGCTGCATTTGCCAGACTAGGGGTGGAGAGGGGACAGGTGGCCACCGGACACACACACACACACACACACACACACACACACACACACGTTGGAGTGCAGGGCTCACACCTGCCATCTCCACCAGGTCCTGGTCAAGGGTGACATTCCTGTGGTTGATCTCTGCCATTCACACAGCCCCCCAGGGGCAGTGATTGTAACCCCAATTTCATTATGGCATAAGGGCCAGAGGCCATTGCCAGGGAGCCAGGTGTCTACTGGTTACCAATACTCCCTTCCTTGACCTTCCCCAGGCATGATGGATTTGTGGATTTCTTTCTTTCTTTCTTTTTGGTGCCAATACAGGGAGATGAACTCAGGGCCTGGGCGCTGTCCCTCAGCTCTTCAGTTCAAGGTAAGTGCTCTACCACTTGAGCCACAGCGCCGCTTCCACTTTTCTGGTGAGTAATTGGAGATAAGAGTCTCACAGACTTTCCTGTCTGGGCTGGCTTTGAACCATGAACCTCAGATCTCAGCCACCTGAGTAGCTAGGATTACAGGAGTGAACCACCAGTGCCCAGCTATTTTTATTTTTTTTAGTTATTATAAGGGGATGCACAGAGGGGCGCTATCATTACATAAGTCAGGTAATGAATACCTTTCTTTCTTCTTTTCCTTCCTTCCTCCCTTCCTCCCTCCCTCCCTCCCTCCCTTCCTCCCTCCCTTCCTTCCTTCCTTCCTCCCTTCCTTTCTTCCTTCCTTCCTCCCTTCCTCCCTTCCTTCCTCCCTTCCTCCCTTCCTTCCTTCCTTCCTTCCTTCCTTGCTTCCTTTCCTTCTTCCTTCCTTCCCTCCTTCCTTCCCTTTCTTCCTTTCTCTCTCTCTCTGTTGGTCCTGGGGTTTGAATTTAGGGTTTGGGCACTGTCCCTGAGTTTTTTCACTCAAGGCTAGCATTCTACCACTTTGGGCCACAGCACCATTTCGGTTTTCTGGTGGTTAATTGGAGATAAGACTCTCATGGGGACTTTTCAGCCCAGGCTGGCTCCGAACCACGGCCATCAGATCCCAGCCTCCCGAGTGGCTAGGATGACAGGTATGAGCCACTGCTTCCCTTTGGACAAAGCCACCCCTTGCTCTGCTTGTCAGCTCCCACCGTGAGTTGGGCTGATGGCTCATGTGCTCTCTCTCAGCTCTTCCTGTGTGGGGCTGTGGGGGGTGAGGCCAGTGTACAATGGCTGATTTGTTCTCTTCTCCACAGAAAAGACCATGAGACATTAGAAAGAAAAGGCCTTCACAAGTTTGAAGAACCACAAACTCACTCGCCTGCCTGGAAGCCACATGGAAACCTTTCCAATAAACCTCGATAAGGCACCTCGGGTCTCCTGTCATTTTTCGGCCAGATGTGAACACGGTGCCATGTTTGGTGTGGTGAGGACAAGCTGGGGGCAGTGGGTTCAAATTCTGCCCAACTGTGCAACAGGATTTTTAGGTCTGGAAAACTCAGTCCCCATCTCAAAGGCTGGCAGTGAGAAATCTATTGATAAGAACATGAGAAGATCATTGTTACTGAGACCCAAAAGCCCTGGGAGGGGCCCAGTGGCCGACATTGCCTTCCATCCTTGGGAACCGGTGTCATTCTTGCTTAATTCCATCTTTTTTTTGGTCAGCCGTGGGGACTGAACTCTGGGCGTGGGTGCTGTTCCTGAGATCATCAGCTCAAGGCGAGCACTCTATGACTTTGAGCCACAGCACCACTCCCAGTTTTCTGGTGGTTCATTGGTGATAGGAGTCTCATGGGCTTTCCCATTTGGACTGGCTTTGAACCGTGATCCTCAGATCTCAGCCTCCTGAGTTGCTAGGATGACAGGTATAAGCCACCAGCGCCCAGCTACTTGATTCCATCTTTAGGACTGAGTTTTACTGTTGCAACAAAGTCTAAAATGACAAAATATCAGAGTGCTGGTGGCTCACACCTGTCATTCTAGCTCCTCAGGAGGCTGAGATCTGAGGATTGTGGTTTGAAGCCAGCCAGGGCAGCAAAGTCCATGAGACTCTGAATCTAGTTCATCACTAGAAAACCAGAAGTGGCAGAGTTCAAGCCCCGTGACTGACAAAAAATAAAATAAGATGAAATAACTTGGACAAGAGGGGTGTTTATTCTCCTATCATACAAGAGGTTCATGATGAGCATCTGGACAAAGCAGATATGGTGTGAGTCATCCTCCATTGCTATGACAGAAGACAAAAGCCCCAAGACAACAAACTTTAAAAGGAAGAAAGGTTTGCTTTGGCTCACGCCTTCCAAGTGTTCTGTGGTGGCTGGCTGGCTTGCTCTGCGGCTGTGTGAGGTATAACATCATGGCAGAAGCTTGTGGTAGGAGAGGCAGCTTACCCTACAGAGGTAACAGGGAACAGAATGCAAGAGAAGAGGCTGGGTCTCACCATTCCCGTGGAGGACATGTCCCCTCCCCATGACCTCAACCCCCCCCCCCCCAAACACACATGAGGCCCCGCCTCCCAATGGCACAGAGCTGGGGCCACACCTTCAACATAAAATTTTTAGGACATTCAGGATCCAACCTAGCCAGACATTGCTGGCTCACGCCTGTCATCCTAGCTACCCAGGAGACTGGGATCTGAGGATCACAGTTCAAAGCCAGCCTGGGCAGGAAAGGCCCCATGAGACTCATATCTCCAATAAACCACTCAAAAACCAGAAGTGGCACTGTGGCTCAAGTGGTAGAGTGCTACCTTTGAGCACAAAGAGGCTCAGGGACTGGGCCCAGACCCTGAGTTCAAGCCCCAGGACTGTCAAAAAAGAAAAAATCCAAGGTATTCTATAGCTACCCACTGTATGGGTGACAGATTATTCATTTCTTTTCTTACTAGTCATGGGGCTTGAACTCAGGGCCTGGGCACTGTCCCTGAGCTTCTTTTGCTCAAAGCTAGCACTATACCACTTGAGCCATGGCACCACTTCCAGTTTTCTGGTAGTTAATTGGAGATGAGTTTCCATTGATTTTCCTGCCCAGGCTGGCTTTGAAGGCTTTGAACTGCGATCCTCAGATCTCAGCCACCTGAGTAGCTAGGATTATAGGTGTGAGCCACTGATGTGCCCAGCTTCTGACTAATTCTTGGACTGGGGTTTGAACTCAGGGCTTTGTGCTTATTAGACAAGCTACTGAGCTTTTCTCAGCCAGCCATCCATTCTCCCCTTTTTTGAAGTGAATATTTTTTTTTACGATACGTCACTTTCTAAGCATAATCCTCCTGTTTTATGCATCCCACTGTAGCTGATTCAAAGCCAGCCTGGGCAGGAAAGTCCATGAGACTCTTATCTCCAATAAACCACTAGAAAACTGGAAGTGGCGCTGTGGCTCAAGTGGTAGAGCGCTCACCTTGAGCTGAAGAGCGCAGGGACAGTGCCCAAGCCCAGAGTTCAACAACAAACAACAACAAAAAAATCTCGATCCTCAGATTCAGCCTCCTGAATAGCTAGGATGACAGGCATGAGCCACTGGCAATAGAAAGGTTTATTTGGCTAAGAGGAGCACCAGCATGGTTTTGGTTACTGGCTCAGCTCCGGCAGGGACTCTGCTGGCTGGATCCATCCAGCTGTGCCCAACATCTGGGAGATTTTTAATTTTTTTAATTGTTATAGAGATGATATACAGAGGAGTTACAGTTATGTAAGTCAGAGAATGAGTACATTTCTTTCTGGACAATGTTCTCCTCTCAAGTAAGATTTTTTTTTTTTTAATGTACAGATCTGCCAGGCACCAGTGGCTCAAGCCTATCATCCTAGCTACTCTGAAGGCTGAGATCTGAGGATCACGTTCAAAGCCAGCCCAGGCAGGAAACATCTTGAGACTCTTTATTTTCAATGAACCACCAGAAAACTGGAAGTGGCGCTGTGGCTCAAGTGGTAGAGCACTTGCCTTGAGCTGAAGAGCTGAGGGACAGCGCCCAGGCCCAGAGTTCAAGCCTCACGACTGATGACAAAAAAAAAAAAAAAAAATGTACAGACCACAAATGATACCAGCCAGTACATGGGCTCAGACACCTGGTGAGCATAAGTCTGTGGACCCTCAGGGACTGTCCCATCTTCCCTCTGTCTCCCCCTTCTCTCCCTCTCTTCAGGCCCCTGAACTCTTTTTTTTTTTTTGTCGGTCATGGGGCTTGAACTCTGGGTCTGGGCGCTGTCCCTCAGCTCTTTAGCTCAAGGCGAGCGCTCTACCACTTGAGCTACAGCGCCACTTCCGGTTTTCTGGTGGTTTATTGGAGATAGGAATCTCACGGTCTCTCCTGCCCGGGCTGGCTTTGAACCGCGATCCTTAGATCTCAGCCTCCTGAGTAGCTAGGATGACAGGCGTGAGCCACCAGCGCCCGGCCTCCCTGAACTCTTCCACTCAAGAGACAATCAATAACTCAGAGTCCCTCTCACTGCCAGATCTGAGCCCAACACTGTCTCAGCTTCTCCCTGGGGGGACCAGGACCTTGGATGATGGGGATGGGGGAACGAGTGTGGGTAGATACCCCCTTTCTCCCCAAACACTAGTCTCAAAAGGGGGGTAATGGGCCATATCACCATCATGGCATGCTAGATTGTGGAATCCAGTGATATCACAAGGGCTGGAATGTTCTGGAAACTGCTGGTCACCTAAGGCTAACGCAGGGAGGTGACAAAGTTGGTGAGACTGCCTTACCCCATTAATGACAGAGGGGTGAAGTGTGTGTGGACCTCAGGGCATTCACTGTGTATCTAACCCCACTCTGCCACTCCTCCAGTGACAAACTGGGCAGCCCAGTGGCCATAGAAGGTATTAGAAAACACTAATGTTTGTTTTGTTACATTTCTTTCTTTTTTTTGCCTGTCCTCAAACTCAGGGCCTGAGTGCTGTCTCTGAGCTGTTTTTGCTCAAGGCTAGCACTCTACCAGTTTGAGCCACAGAGCCACCTCCGGTTTTCTGGTGGTTCATTGGAGGTAAGAGTCTCATGGACTTTCCTATTGGGACTGCCTGGCTTTGAACCATGATCCTCAGATCTCAGTCTCCCGAGTAGCTGGGATGACAGGCGTGAGCCACAATGCCTGGCTTTCCATTTCCTTTTTCCCTCACCCTTGTCTTCCCATACCAGCCACAGGGCCCTCATGACCCTACTCCTCTCCTGAGGGGCCTGCACCCACCTGTGTGCCCCACTGGGTGCTCTGCAGCCTTCTGCTCCCCCTGGCAGGTAGGAAGCCCAGCATAGGCAACCACGATGTCCTGTGGATTACCCTGCTGGGGAACAAAAGACGCCTGGAGAGCTGCATGAATGAAGCAAGATCGTGATGCTCTCTAGGGCCCATATAGAAAGGAGACCCAGAGGTGAGGGCGACTGAGTCCCAGGGGAGAGCGGGGGCAGGGCATGGGGGTCCCCTTCCCTGAGACCCTCAGAGGTGTGCATTCTGTGCTCCTGCCTGCCTGCCTGGGTGCCAGGCGGTGGGGTGGGGTGGGGGTGACGGGGTGTGGCCTCCTCTCTGGTCCCATGTCTGTCCACCTGTCCTCTGTGCTCCTGTCACCATCTGTGCCACACCCGACGCTGCCTGGTCACACTCCCTTTTGGACCCCCAGAACCCCATGAACCAGCCTCACTTTCAATGAAATGTGACCCCCCCCCCCCGCCACACTGTGACCCCTCCCGGTGACCCTGAGGCACCCTCCTCCTGACCCCCCCCCCCCGTGACCCCGCGACCCCCCCCCCCGGGACTCCCTCGCATGGACCCCGCGCGGTGACACGCGTGCGCAGTGACACGCGCGCCCGCAGGCCGCATCTACTGGACCACGCAGTGCGAAGGCGAGGTGCGGCTGCGGCTGAACAAGGACGATCAGGAGGAGGAGAAGCCCGTCACCGTGCACGACATGGTCCTGGGCACCGCCACCAAGTTCGGCAGCCAGCTCGCGCTCTGCTCCAAGTACAAGGATCGCTGGCACCTGTTCTCCTACATCGAGCTGTACGAGGAGTGCCGGCGCGTCGCCAAGGCCTTCCTCCAGGTACCGGCCCCGAACCGGCCCGCGCGCCTGCCCAGGCCGCACTGCGCCTGCGTGGACCCTTGGCGCAGGCGCCTCCCGCGCGCACCGCGCTTCTCGTCTTCTGCGCATGCGTGGCATCACTTCGGGCCTGCTCCCGCCGCGTTGTGGCCTTGCTGCGTTCCTGAATGCTTATTTGTATTTTTATTTGTTTGCTTGTTTATTGTCGGTCGTGGGGCTTGAACTCCGGGCCTGGGCACTGTCCCTCAGCTCTTCAGCTCAAGGCGAGCGCTCTACCACTTGAGCTACAGCGCCACTTCCCGTTTTCTGGTGGTTTATTGGAGATAGGAGTCTCACGGTCTCTCCTGCCAGGGCTGGCTTTGAACCGCGATCCTCAGATCTCAGCCTCCTGAGTAGCTAGGATGACAGGCGTGAGCCACCAATACCTGGCTTCAGTATTTAAACACACACACACACACACACACACACACACACACACACACACATGCAATAGCAGCTAGGTTGTAGCTTAGTGACAAGCATTCACACACATCAAGCAGCTCTGCACAGGCTGCATACCAAATCAGCTTTAGTACCACTGGGATTTGAACCCTGGAGCTCACCTTGCACTTGCTGGGCAGGTGCTCCATGCCTCCAGCGCTACAGTTCTGATGATCTCCACTAGTGGAATTTCCTTAGAGAGGCCCTTCCTGGATGCTGGTTGCACAAATGCATGCTCTCTCTCTCTCTCTCTCTCTTGCTCTCTTTCTCTCTCTCTCCTTCCCTCCCTCTCCCCCACCTTTCTCATATGATCATTGGAGATAAGATTCTCACAGGAGCTGGGAAGGTGGCTCAGTGGTAGAGTGCTTGCCTTGCATGCATGAGGTCCTAGGTTCGATTCCTCAGCACCATAGAAGCAGAAAAAGCCGGAAGTGGCGCTGTGGCTCAAGTGGTAGGGCGCTCACCTTGAGCTGAAGAGCTGAGGGACAGCGCCCAGGCCCAGAGTTTAAGCCTCATGACCGACAAAAAAAAAAGTCTCACAGACTGTCCTGCCCAGGCTGGCTTCAAACCGTGATCCTCAGATCTCAGCCACCTGTGTAGCTATGATTACAGGATTGGGCCCTCTGCACCTGGCTCTGGGGGGACTCTTATCTCCAATGAACCACCAATAAATAAATAAATAAATAAAAAGCAGCCAGAAGTGGCTCAACGTGCTAGTGTGCTAGCCTTGAGCAAAAAACAACACAACAGAGCAGGGACAGCGCCCGGCCCTGAGTTCAAGCCCCAAGACCGACCACAGTCCACGCCATGCCCTTCCTTGCCTGGAGTCATAATACACAAACTGGCTATAGGTGTCCCCGCTTGTCCCCTGGGGGGTGGGGGTGGGGAGAGAAGAACCCGCCAGCAAAAGGAAGGGTGGCCCAGGCCTCGCGATGGTGGGGTAGTGCAGCCGAGCCGAGCCTGCGTTTCACCATGGCCTCCTCCCCCAGCTGGGCCTGCAGCGCTTCCACGGCGTGGGGATCATGGGTTCCAACTCTGCAGAGTGGGTCATTGCCAGCATCGCCTCCATCATGGCGGGGTAAGGGCGCCCCTGGTGGCAGGGAGGGTCTTGCAGCAGAGTCCCCCAGCCAGGAAGCCAGCTGACCCCCACTCCACTTTAGACTATGCTCAGGGGGATCTATCAGTCCTGAGCACTCTTGGCATGTGCTTCCAGAATATTCTCCCCAGAAAACTCATATACATCCTGTGAAACCCCACAGTCACATCCTTTCCTTCTGTATTCCTTAAGATTCCCCCAGCACTGACCATACCCTGCATCCATCCAAAATATCCATCCTAAAGGGGGGGGGGGTCTCCCCTAAGTCCGACCTTTAAACAGGAAGTAGTGGGGGTGATCAGTGACTCTCGAAACCCCCACCGCAGGCGCTCAGAGCCACCCGTACCCCGTTCTCCTTCTAGAGGCATCTCCGTGGCCATGTTGTCTTCCAGCTCCTCCAAAGTCTGCCAATTGATTGCAGAGACCACAAAGATGAACGTCTTTGTGGTAGACAACAACAAACAGCTGCAGAAGATCAACCAGGTCGGCCATGGCGGGGAGAGGGGCAGCCTGCTGGTGCCCCAGGGCCCTTCTGCCCCCTCACCCCTACCTCTGAGGGCTCCCTCTGAGAGAGCTGGGCTTACCTCACTGCACCATGGTCCTGGGCAGCAAATCCCATCTACATGATAATTGTCAGAGCCTGTGTTTGTGCCCCGGGTGCCACACACAGCCAGGGCCTGGCCCTGCCACGCGGCCCTTGACCTATTTGTTTATTTCCGTCCCTCAGTCTTCAGCTCAAGGTGAGCGCTCTACCACTTGAGCCACAGCGCCACTTCCAGCTTTTTTTTTCCTTTTTGCTTATGTGGTGCTGAGGAATGGAACCCAGGGCCTCAGGCATGCGAAGCAAGTGCTCTACCACTGAGCCACCTTCCCAGCCCCTAAAAACAGCTTTTTTTTTGGAGATAATTTTTGTGTTTATTACAGTCAAAAGTAGAGTGAATTGCAGAGTGGGAAGAAATGTCTAAAATCCATTGTTTGGATGCTGTTTGTGTTTATAAGTCAGCCTTTCACCTTTTGCCACAGGGAAATGGACATATATGGAGGGACCACTCATGAGGGACCTTGGGTATTACATCATGTATGCCAAGGAATCTTCTTCTGTTTCTTCCTTTTAACTTATTTTGTATGTTATATATATATATTAAGTAAAAGAACTTATATCGTTGGTTAATTAAAAAAAAAAAAAAGCCAGCCTGGGCAAAAAACTCCATGAGACTCACCTTCAATTAACCACCAGAAAACCCGAAGTGGTGCTGTGGTAGAGTGCTTGCCTTGTGCTGAAGAGCTGAGGGACAGCGCCCAGGCCCAGAGTTCAAGCCCCATGACCAACAACAACAAAAAAGAAAGAGAAAAGAGAAAGAAAGAAAGAGAGAGAGAGAGAAAGAAAGAGAAAGAGAGAGAGAGAAAGGAAGGAAGGAAGGAAGGAAGGAAGGAAGGAAGGAAGGAAGGAAGGAAGGAAGGACCAAGTTTCCATCAACAGCTGAGTCCACACCAACTCTATCACCCACTGGAACTTCACACAGCTGTGAAAAGGAACGCAGCTCTGACACTCAGGCATAGGCCTTGGGGACATTGTCTGCCTGTGCAGCAAGGGGCTGGCACCAAGGGTCACTTCCTGTCTACTGTGTCCCGTAGATCTTGGGCTCTCTAACCTACCTCAAGGCCATTGTACAGTACAAGGAGGAACTGAAGACCACGCAGGCCAATCTGTATTCGGTATGGTGCCCAGCCAGGAGGGTGTGTGTGGGGGGAGACCCTTTCAGGAACCGCCTGTGCCCCCTCCCCAAAGCCCACCACCACCGCTGGCCTTTCCACAGTGGCAGCAGTTCCTGGACTTGGCGGACAACGTATCAGAAGACAGGCTGGACCATGCCATCGACATGCAGAAACCGAACCAGTGCTGCGCCTTGGTCTACAACCTGAGGACCACAGGCCCGCCCAAGCTCATGATGCTAAGTCATGACAACGTAAGCGCCCCTGGATGGCCCCGGTCCCCAGCCCTGTCCCCCGGCCTCCCCTGCCCTGGGATCCGAGTTGGGGGGGGGTGGGTTGGGAGCAGGAACAGAACCAACCAAGGGCAGGTGACTGGCCTCTGGTCTTTCAGATCACCTGGACCACGGCGGCGACTGTCCAGAGCCTGTGTTACAAGTGTCCCCCGGAGGGACAGGAAATCCTGGTGAGCTACCTGCCGCTCAGCAACATCTCCGTCCAGATCCTCGACATGTGGGTGGCTATCGCTGTGGCCGGGACGCTCTATTTTGCCCCACCAGAAGCTGGAAAAGACACTGACTCTCCCCCTGGCGCAGTGAGTGCTGAACGGCCGCTCCTATTCCCATAACCCCCTACCTAAGGCCGTATGGTCTCCATCCTTCCTGGTCTCTAGGCCCAAGTTTCCTCACGTGTGAAGTGCATGGGGAGGGAACTGATAAGGGCTAGTATTACAGAGAGTAGGAGGCATGTAGACCCACCCACGAGGGCCCAGGGGCCCTCGTGTCACCCGCTCCAACATGGAGGAACTTGAGGACAGGGTGCCCAGTGACACAGCAGACACAGAAGGACCTCCTTACAGTTATCAGAGCCACAGAGACAGGAGTTAGGATGGGGGTGCTAGCACTGGGAGGAGAATTAAGTGTTCGATGGAGATAGAGCTTCAGTTGAGGGAGATGGAAAGTTCTGGAGGTGATGGATGGCCACAACGGCCATGTGATGCTGCTTCCTGTGGGCTGCAGTGTGTATTTAGAAATGGTTAAGATGAGGTAGCTGGGTGTAGTGATGCACACTCATAATCCCAGCACTCAGGAGGCTGAAGTGGGAGGATCTCAAGTTCAAGGCTTGCCTGGGCTATACAATGAGATCCTGTTTCGAAATAAACAAAAACAAACACAACTCCACAAACAACAACAACAAACACAGGTGAATAAGGTAATTTTTATTATCATGCTAGAATAAGAAAATTCAAAATATACTATAGCACTGTTCATAGTTATTAATAGTTCATCAACAAACATGGCCAGCCTTTTTGCTGGTTAACAATATATGAGTCTCACAGGCTGGGCTGGGAAGGTGGCTCAGTGGTCAAGTGCTTGCCTTGCGTGCATGAGGCCCTGGGTTCAATTCCTCAGCACCACATAACCGGGAAAAAAAAGAGTCTCACAGGTTTTCCTGCCCAGACTGGCTTCAAATACCAATCCTTAGAACTGAGTCTCCTGAGTACCTAGGATTATAGGCATGAGCCATCAACATCCATATATATATTTTTTTGGTCAGTCATGGGGCTTGAACTCTGGGCCTGGGCGCTGTCCCTCAGCTCTTCAGCTCAAGGCAAACGGTCTACCGCTTGAGTCACAGGACCACTTCCGGTTTTCTGGTGGTTCATTGGAGATAAGAGTCTCACAGACTTTCCTGCCCGAGCTGGCTTTGAACCATGATCCTCAGATCTCAGCCTCCTGAATAAGATTGCAGGTGTGAGCCACCAGTGCCCAGCTACAATGCCTATCTTTTGAGTCTTGCACTTTTATCCAGGGCCAGCTTTGACCTATGTCCTCTTCCACCTCTAGAAGAGCTGCAATTACAGCTATGCAAAACCCTGTATGTCTATCCTCTATCCCTCTTTATGCCTCTCTCCCTCTCCCCCAACCTTGCATCAACCTTGGGGCCTCCATTCCATGCCCCACTCAGAGTTCAGGCGTAAGGCGTAGGCGCTGCCTTCTGAGACCCACAGCTGGTGCATGCCAGACACGGTGGGTGCTGGGCTCTGGGAGTCATTACTTAACCATCAGCACCACCCCAGCCCTGCTTCCCTCAGGCCCTGGTTGGTTCTGGACTCAATGGGGCCCCACTCGGATCAATGTAGCCCCCTGTCCCTGACTCTATCTCCATCCTCATCCCCTAGGGCTTCCTGTTTGAACTGCTTCGAGAAGTGAAGCCCACCACCTTCTACGGCGTGCCCTGGATCTGGGACCTGATTCAGGACAACCTGAAGACCAGCCAGCTGGAGCTGGGCAGGTTCCGCAGGAAGGTCAATGACTGGGCCATGAAGCTGGGGCTCAGAACTAACCAGAGACGCATGTTTGGGTGAGCCGAGGCGGGGATGGGAGGCGGGCGGCAGGCACCGGGGCCAGGGATGGCGTGGCCAGGCCACCAGACGCTCACGTGGCACCCACCTGCTTCTCAAGGCAGGTCCACCCCCCGCTGTGCTTCGGCGTGGCCAAGAAACTGATCTTTGACCCCGTCAAGAAGTTCCTGGGCCTCAACCGCTGTGAGCAGTTCTTCAACCTCGGCATGGGGCTCCCCAGAACCACCCTGGATTTCTTCCTCAGCCTCAACATCTCCATCTTTGAGCTCTACGGCCTGTCCGAGTGCACGGGCATCCACACGGTCTCCAGCCACCAGGCCTTCCGGCTGCTCAGGTGGGTCTTGTTGGAAGGGTGGACAGACAGAACACCGAGGTTTTCCCAACCTCAAATACATACAGGGAGCATGCTATTGGCCAAGTCAGTCGGCCTCGGCCGTCCCATGAGCCTCTCCTACATTCATTTGTCTTGTATTCATTTATTTACTTCTATATAAAAGTTAATGTGAGGGCTGGGAAGGTGGCTTAGTGGTAGAGTGCTTGCCTCGCATGCATGAGGCCCTGGGTTCGATTCTTCAGCACTACATAAGCTGGAAGTGGCACTGTGGCTCAAGTGGTAGAGTGCTAGCCTTGAGCTGAAGAGCTGAGGAACAGTGCCCAAGCCCAGAATTCAGGCCCCAGGGCTTGTATTAAAAAAAAAAAAAATCCAGCTGGGCACCAGTGGCTCACACCTGTAATCCTAGCTACTCAGGATTCTGGGATCTGAGGACCGCAGTTCAAAACCAGCCCAGGCAGGAAAGTCCATGAGACTTATCACCAGTTAACCACCAAAAAAACAAAGCCAGAAATGGAGCTGTGGGTCAAGTGGCAGACTGCTAGCCTTGAGCACAAAAGCTCAGGGACAGTTCATAGGCCCTAAGTTCAAGCCCCAGGGCTGACACAGAAAAAAAAAAAATGTCTGCTAATTATCAGCTTAGCACAGCAGCAGGTTTGGGCGGAGGGCGGATGGGGAAGGGGAGCTGCTTCCAAGCTGGGCAGCCTGGCTCCTGGTCAAGCTATTGTCTGTGTTCTCATCCAAAGGCTGGGCCGGGGAGGAGGGACATCTTCCAGTATGCCTCCCTGCAAGGCCATAGTAAGAGACCTTCAGTGGACCTCTCCACAGAGATGCTAGAGTGTCATTCAAGATGGCAGCTGGCCTCGCGTAAAACGTCAAGATGGAAACCATGATGTCTTTGTGTGTGTCTGTTGTATGTGTGCCAGTTGTGGGGCTTGAACTCAGGGCCTGGGTGCTGTCCATGAGCTTCTTTTGCTCAAGGTTAGCACTCTTCTAACACTTGAGCCGCAGCACCACTTCTATTTTCTGGTGGTTCATTGGAGATGAGAGTTTCATGGAGCCAGGCACTGGTGGCTCATACCTATATCCTAGCTACTCAGGAGGCTGAGATCTGAGGATCGTGGTTCAAAGCCAGCCCCGGGCAGGAAAGTCTGTGGGACTTTTAGCCCAGGGAGGAAAAGCTAGGGGTCCCCTGCTCTGGTGGGGGGGACGTGTCTGGCGTGTGTCCCAACCGGCTTCCTGCCCCCAGCTGTGGGAAGGCGCTCCTGAACACCAACACGAAGGTGGAAGAGGAGAATGAGGAGGGCATCGGCAACATTTGCGTGTGGGGCCGGCACATCTTCATGGGCTACCTCAACGACTTCGAGGGCACGCGCCAGAAGATAGACAGCCAGGGCTGGATGCACACCATGGACATGGGCTTCCTGGACTCCGACAAATTCCTCTACATCCTGGGCAGCACCAAGGGTGAGGGAGATGCAGCCGGGCCTGCAGGGCGGCTGCCCACGGCGGTGTGGTTTGTGCACTTGCAAAAGGCACAGGAAACCCTAAGTCCGGTTTGGATTTTTGTTATTTTTGTCAATGCTGGATCATTTTTTTCTTTGACCAGTCGTGGGGCTTGAATTCTGGGCCTGGGCGCTGTCCCTCAGCTCTTCAGCTCAAGGTGAGCGCTCTACCACTTGAGCCATAGCATCACTTCCGGTTTTCTGGTGGTTCATTGGAGATAAGAGTCTCCTGAACTTTACTGTCTGGGCTGGCTTTGAACCACTATCCTCAGATTTTAGCCTCCTGAGTAGCTAGGATGACACTGGATGTTTTTGTGTGATGTGTGACTTGTACTGGGGTTTGAACTCAGGGCCTGAGTTCAAGTTGAATCTCTTGGCTTGCTCAAACCTAGCATTCTACCCCTTGAGTCCCAGCTCCTCCTGCCTGGGCCTGGCTTTGAACCACAATTGAGTAGCTAGGATTACAAGGTTGGGCTGGGCTCAGTAGTGGGTTTTGAACTTAAGACTGCACCTGCCAAGCTAGTGCTCTGCTGCTGAGCCAGGCCCACAGCCATTTGGAGCTTGAGCTCATTTTCAGATAAGGACTCCTGTTTTTGTCCAGAGCCAGCCTGGACTCATGGCTTCCTGCTTGGCTGAGCTAGCAGATTTGTGCCACCATACCTAACCTATTGATTGAGATATGGGGTCTTGCTAACATTTTTTTTTTCTTCACCCTTACTGGTCCTTGAACCACAATTCTCCTCATTTCTGCCTCTCACATAGCTAGAATTATAAGCATGAACCACTGCCCTGACCCAGGGGTGTCTCCTGTGCATTGGGGTCTGCCTCTGTAAGTCAGGGTTGCTCTGGGACAGTCCCCATCCTGACCACAACTCCGTGTTAGGTTTTATTTTTTTTTGGGGGGGGGGGGGCAAATGCCTGCTCTTCCTGCACACAGATATGATCACGCTGAGCTCCGGAGAGGTCATCAACCCAAACCTCATTGAGGAGCGGGTGAAGAACCATATCCCCATTGTTCACTATGTGGTGGTGGTGGGCCAGGACCACCCGTTCCTGTCTGCCCTCCTGACGCTGAAGGTACCCAGTGCCATGTCCCTGTGTGGTGGGTGGCATGGGGGCTGATGCCCTGATGCAAGATGAGGGGACAGAGGCTCAGTGAGGAGGGCCCGTGGACCCCTCGCTGGAGCAGAATTGCTCCCCAGCTCCAATGTCTAGCTTTGGTGGTTTTTTTTTTTTTTTGGTCGGTTGTGGGGCTTGAACTCTGGGCCTAGATGCTACCCCTCAGCTCTTCAGCTCAAGGCTAGCGCTCTACCACTTGAGCCACAGTGCCACTTCTGGATTTTTCTGTTTATGTGGTGCTGAGGAATCGAACCCAGGGCCTCAGGCATTTGAGGCAAGCTCTACCACTGAGCCACCTTCCCAGCCCTTTGGTTTTATTTTTATGCTGGTCTTGGAGTTTGAACTCAGGGCCTGGGCGCTGGTGCTCTATCACTTGTGGAATTTTTGGTGGTCTCATGGACTTTTCCTTCCCTGGGCTGGCTTTGAACCATGCTTCTCAGATCTCAGCTTCCTGAGTCGCTGGGATGACAGGTGCGAGCCATGCAGGTGTCCAGCCTGACCCCGTTTCAGGGCATGTGGTCGCAGGCATGTGTTTGAGTTTGTCAGTTGTGGGACTTGAACTCTGAGCCTGGGCCCTACCCCTGAGCTTTCCAGCTCAAGGCAAGCACTCTACCACTTGAGCCACAGCACCACTTCTGCCTTTTTCTGCTTATGTGGTGCTGAGGAATCAAACCCAGGGTCCCATGCATGCAAGGCAAGCGCTCTACCACGGAGCCACCTTCCCAGCCCTGGGTTTTGTTGTTGTTGTTGTTGTTGGTTGTGGGGCTGGAACTCTAGGACTGGGTACCGTGGCTCAAGCTGTAGAGCACTATCCTTTAGCACAAAAGCTGTGGGATGGTGTTCAGGCCTTGAGTTCAAATCAGCACTGGCACAAGCAAACAAAATGTATAGGAGAAAACCCCAGGGTCCAAGTGTGGGGGACATCTGGCGAGCCCCCAGTGTGGGGTGTGGTGACCCGGAGGGGCCTGACTCCATTCCCCCTTGCAGTGCCAGGTCAACTGGGAGACAGGGGAGCCGCGGACCACGCTGACCAATGAGGTGGTGGCTGTGTGCCGGAGCCTGAAGAGCCAGGCCACCTGGCTGAGTGACGTGCTGGAAGGCCGTGATCCCATCGTGGACAACTTCATCAAGCAGGGGATGGAGGCTGCCAACGAGGAGGCGCCCTCCGAGAGCTACAAGGTGCTCAAGTGGGTCGTCCTGGACACAGACTTCTCCGTGTGTGGCGGCGAGCTCGGTGAGCGTCTGGAGCTCCCAAGTGGGGCTCCCCTCAACCCCGAGTCTTATTCTTCCTTCCTGGTGCCAGCCCTGAGGTTCCAACTCAGGGCCTAGGCACTGTCCCTGAACAAGGCTAACGCTCTACCACTTGAGCCACAGCTCCACTTGTGGCTTTCTGGTGGTTCACTGGAGACAAGAGTCTCATGGACTTCGCTGCCTAGGCTGGCTTTTTTTTTTTGTCGGTCGTGGGGCTTGAACTCGCAGCCTGGGCGCTGTCCCTCAGCTCTTCAGCTCAAGGCGAGCGCTCTACCCTTTGAGCCACAGCACCACTTCTGGTTTTCCGAGTGTTTTATTGGAGATAAAGGAGTCCCTCGGACTTTCTTACCCAGGCTGGCTTTGAACCCTTCCTCTGATCTTAATCCTTCTGAGCACCTGAGATTATAGGAAAGAGTCACCAGTGCCCAGCTCACCCCACGTTTTCTAAACCCCTGCATCTGGCGTGCGGTGCCAGGACTAGCTGGGGACCCCTTGGAGCACAGGAACCCTCTACCTTGGGCTCGCTTCTGTTGCAGGAGCCACTACGAAACTGAAGAGGGGGACCGTGAACAAGATGTACAAGGAGGAAATCCAGAAATTGTATGAGTAGTTAGCAGCTGAGAAGGAGCCCTTACCTCATTCTTTTGCTACATTAGTTGTGACCTCCCTCCCCCCCCCTTCTTCCTGTGGGTCTGTTAAGGGGGCAGCCCCAGAGGAGAGGCCGCTGCCCCACCCCAGCAGGCAGGGCCCAGAGCTGCCAGGCCTGCCAGAGCCACAGGACTTTGAATTGTAAAAATAAAGTTGCTTTACTTAAGGGGTTCTGCTCATTTAGGGCGGTGATCTTGTTGGCCCACCTCCCCCCCCTGCCCCCCAGTGTCCCTGCATGGTGTCTGGGGACACGCTGGGACTGGGGTCTCCTGGGTCTGGAGTGAACGGCTCAGCCCCTCCCTCCCACAATGACACGTACCCGTGTCCATGGTCCTCATCTGCCAAGGAAAATCGGGGAGCACAGGGCGGGCAGGTTAAGGCAGTATACGGGAGGGCCCACGGAGGACCCCTCGCGACTCCCGTGGGGAAATCATGGCAAATGTCTCAAAGACATAGACTCAGGCGGGGTTAGAGGGGCTCCGGGCTGGGGTGGGGGTGGGAAGAGAGGCTGGAAGTCACTTCTGTGCCCACCAACACAATGAAGCACAGCCAAGGACGACACGAGCCTGCTGATCTGAGAGGGCCCCGGGGCCTCTCCGCGTCCGGTCCCCCGCGGGGCCGCCAGCGGGCAGGGCGCATCTGTGTACTGCCACGGTAACAAAACGCGCGAGGCTGGGGCACGCGCGAGAACAGAGGTCCGGAGAGCCGGCACGGGGCACGGGCTGGCTGGGGGCCAGGCGTGGACACTGAGGCCTGCTTTCTCATTGGACTTTATTTCACTTTTTTTTTTTTTCCTAAAAAACTCCTCCATCAATTCACAATTTAACAAAAAAAAAAAAAAAAAAAGTTTAAAATCCAGGACGGAAACAATCCTGTGACTCGTGACAGACGCTCCTCCGCACCCGTGTCCAGGCATGGTGCGGGTGCTGGGCATCCATACCTTGTGTGCCCGTGGCTCCAGGGTGGTGCTGGGGGCGGGCAGCAGCAGGGCCCCCGGCCGTCCCGGCTGGGCGCGGGAGGGCGGTGGAGGTAACGGAGACTTGGAGCTTCCGGAGGCCGGGCGGCCGGGCGGGGCGGGGTGGGGGTGGGCTGGCGCAGCCGGGCTGCCCTGCAGACCCCGGCCATCCCAGGCTAGAGGAAGACCAGCTCTACGGCCCCAGGCCCCACTGGTGCCCCGGCCTCGGAGTCACAGCTGCCATGATGCCGAGTTCTTTTCGTCCAGTATCTTGGAGTTTCCGGAGAGTGCCAGCTTTGGAGTATTGTTGGCCTGCCCGGGCCCGGGGTGCTGGCGCTGAGGCAGTGGGCTTGGGGGGGCCCTGGGGGAGCCTTGGAGGCCGAAGTCCCCCAGGAGCGCTTGGGGGCCCATGGGCAGCAGGGCAGGGCGGGGCCTCCTTACCTACACTCATCGTGGAGAGCAATCTGTCCCGGAGCAGCGTGGGGTCCCCTTGGGTCCCCGGTCCTCTTTCGAACACCGTGGACAGAGCGTGAATGCTTGAGACGACTCTGAAGTCAGGAGGGGCTGAGGAGCCTTGAAGTTGGGGCCCCGGGACACCCCAGGGTGCTAACGGCGTCAGGGCTCGGTGCCCTGGAAGGTGGGGGGCTTGGCCCTGGACAGTCTGGGGCGAACGGGAGCTAAGTCTCTGGGAGGCCAGTGCGGACCGCAGCAGTGGAGGTGGAGGCCCAGGCCAGAGGGGAGGCTGTGGGCCCGTGGCTGTGGCAGGGCCCTGCCACGCGGGCATGCCTCCTCGCCGCCTCGGACACGGACGATCCCATCTTATTTGGCAAAAGCTCATTTTTTTTTTCTCCAAGTTTGAAGACTTGATCAACAAAAGGGGAGGAAGAGGATGCTGAGGGGGAGGGCGCCGCTGGGGCAGCTCCTGTGGCCCTGGCGGGCGCCTCGCACACAGACTCAGACACGTTAACCTACAAGCCCACGCCCCCCACCCCCACGTGCACCGGCCACAGAAACGCACAGGGAACCGCTCGTGACCCGGGCACACACATATAATAATCTACACAGAGCTGTACAGCGGGAGGCCCGGCGCGCACCGTGGCTGGCACGGAGGGAGGGGCTGGCCGGGCCGCACAGACGAAGCCTCCTGAGTCCCCTGGCAGGTGGGTGGGCAGCCGAGGGGCTCACGCGAACCGTTCGGGGTGGCGGGATGCCCTGGTTGCTGAGGGAGGCCCAGGCAGTGACATGGCACCACACAGCCTGGCATGGGAGAGGGGAGAGCCTGGGGGGCTGGGCCCAAGGCGGGGCGAGTTCCCCTCCCCAGAACCAGGCCCAACGCTGCCTTCAACACAAACCGCCTTTTAGGGAGGTCCGGGCGATGGTGCGCGCAGCTGAGCCACGGCCCAGGCCCGGGCTGCCTGGCCCTGGGGCCCCTGGTCTCCTGGTGGGTGGGGGGCCAGTCGGAAGGGAGCCACCCCAGAAAGTGCAGCTGGCCGTGAGGGCCAAGGGCGGTGGCGGCGGCGGTCACTAAGGCAGTGCTGCAGGCAGGTGAGTGGAGAGGAAGGCAGGTGGGGCCTGAACGCGGCCTCTCGGGACCCGGGTGGCAGGGCCTGGCACCCGGCCCAGGGTCATGTGGCCACGGCCTCCAGGTAGCTCTGCAGCTTGCGCACGGTCGTCTCGTCCAGGGAGAAGAGGTCGAAGTCAAAGGTGGTGTTGGTGACGTTGAAGTGCCCAGTCTCCTCAATCAGGTTCACGATCTGCAAGGTGGACGGGAGGCCAGAGGGGGTCAGTCATGGGGTCTCCAGGCCAGGCCTCCACTGGGCCCCCACCAGAAGTGTCCATCCTGCCCCGTCCCACCTGGGCCCCTCAGTACCCGCTGCAGCATGCTCCTTCCTGTACCCATTGCAGCATGCTCCTCCTACCCATGCCCCCCATACCCGCTGCAGCATGTTCCCACTCCTCCCCCTCCTCCCTTACCTGCTGCAGCATGCTCCTTCCTGTACCCATTGCAGCATGCTCCTCCCACCTGTCCCTCCATACCCACTGCATGCTCCCCCGCCTCCCTGTACCTGCTGCAGCATGCTCCTCCCACCCCTCCCCCTGCCCCCCGTACCCACTGCAACATGTTCCCCATACCGGCTGCAGCATGCTCCCCCCCACCCCCATACCCGCTGCAGCATGCTCCCCGCCCCCATACCCGCTGCAGCACGCTCCCCCACCCCCCCGTACCCGCTGCAGCATGCTCCACCCGCCCCCCTGTACCCGCTGCAGCATGCTCCACCTGCCCCCCTGTACCCGCTGCAGCATGCTCCACCTGCCCCCCTGTACCCGCTGCAGCATGCTCCACCTGCCCCCCTGTACCCGCTGCAGCATGCTCCACCTGCCCCCTGTACCCGCTGCAGCATGCTCCACCCGCCCCCCTGTACCCGCTGCAGCATGCTCCACCCGCCCCCCTGTACCCACTGCAGCATGCTCCCCGCCCCCCTGTACCCGCTGCAGCATGCTCCCCCGCCCCCATACCCGCTGCAGCATGCTCCCCGCCCCCTCATACCCACCCCCGTACCCGCTGCAGCATGCTCCCCGCCCCCTCATACCCGCTGCAGCATGCTCCCCACCCCCATACCCACTGCAGCATGCTCCCCGCCCCCATACCCGCTGCAGCATGCTCCCCGCCCCCTCATACCCGCTGCAGCACGCTCCCCGCCCCCATACCCACTGCAGCATGCTCCCCGCCCCCCTATACCCGCTGCAGCATGCTCCACCCGCCCCCCCTGTACCCGCTGCAGCATGCTCCCCGCCCCCATACCCGCTGCAGCATGCTCCCCCGCCCCCCTGTACCCGCTGCAGCACGCTCCCCCACCCCTCTGTACCCGCTGCAGCATGCTCCCCGCCCCCATACCCGCTGCAGCATGCTCCCCCGCCCCCATACCTGCTGTAGCATGCTCCCTCGCCCACCTCCTGCCCCGTACCTGCTGCAGCACGTTGCGCTCCCGCAGCGCCATCAGCCTCCGGTGCAGCTCCACCAACTCATCTGTGTAGGCCTGGGGGCGCAGAGGTTCACCAGGGCTGCCCCCAGGCCAAGCCCACCTCCAACCCTTATGCAGCCCATGCCAGTAAAGAACAGGCACCCCCACTGAAGACAGCCAACTCTAGGGACCGAGGGGCCCCTCATGGCTGTGCCGCCACCCAGCCACCGCTTGCTGTACCTTGTCATAGGTGCCCTTCTTCAGGATCTTCTCTGGCTTGCTGCACGGCTCGGGGCTCCTCCGGCCTGGTGCCTGTGGGGCCCCAGGGGGCTCTGAGCTCCGGCCCGTGCCCTCTCCAGCACCCCACAACCCCCAAGCCCTCCCCACGGTGGCGCGAGCCTCCCTGTGCCGCGCCCTTGCCCCCGGGCTCCCGCTCACCTTGCTGTTGGGCGGGGGTGGCTTCTGGGGGGGAGGGGGCTCGCGGCCGGGCAGGCAGGAGTCAGCACTGTTGTCACTCTCACTGTCGCTGAAGCTCAGCCTGTACACCAGACAGGCCGGGGGGGGGGGTCAGGCTCTGTGACCCCAAGGCAGAGCCCATGGGCCCCATGCGCTAAGCTAGGCCCTTCTAGGAGCACTGGGCATGGGGGCCGCAAGCTGGGCTGGGGCTGCCGTGGCCAGGCGGGTGTGCGCCCCAGACAGCCCACTCAGCAGGCCCTGCGGCCCCCAGCACTCAGGTGTGGAGAGTCGCCAGCCGACCCACATGGGAGTGAACTCGGCTTTGCTGCTTTAGCTGCGTGGAGGCTGGGGCTGCCTGTGGAGAACCGCACCGTCCTCACACATCCCAGGCTGCACTGGGCTGCGCTGCCATGGCCCTGCGACCCTGCACAGCCTGCAAGGCGGGTCAGCCATGCCTGCGCTCAGTCTCAGGGACCGCCCCAAGGAAGATGCGCGTGGTATGGTGGGAAGGACGGGGCTGAGCCAGCAGTGGTGGACGGTCCCTGGCGGGGTGATGGGGGGGGGGGGGCAGGAGCGGCTTCTCCCAGC